GGATGTTATGTGAGATACATATGTTTTCCACTGTCTAGCACAATTGCCACCACCTACTGTGTACAGTATAGTGCTATATACCCGCACATTTCCATTCAAGGACATTGATGGCGCACCGCTAGAAATAGGCATCCGGGTCTCGAGTGCAACACTGGAGCGCTGCCTCCTTTGCAACCGTACCATTGGGGTCTACGCGGGGGCTTTGGCTGCGACTCCATTACTGATACTTTGCCAGCACTTTGCACCCACTTGTGGTATTTGGTTTTACACTCTGCAATGCGGCGCCACAGTCCATTGTTGTTGTTGTTGTTGTTTATGTGTTTATATGTCTGCCCTGCCTTCCTGCGTTTTGTCGCAATTTTGCTGTCTGTGGCTGGTGGACGAGGCTGTGGCCGTAGAATTGTGATGTAAATGGGTTAAGTTCTGACATTAAATTGTATTTAAAATGATTTTGCATGTTTTTTTCTTTACCTAGTTCTCGTTGTTAGGTATTCACAAAATGAGATTTTCAGTTTTATTTGTGTTTTCTCATATATAGTACCAGCTATCATGCATCTGTATACATATTTATTTGCGTATCTTTATTAAATTTCAGCTACAATATTTCAAATGTTTGTTGACTGTTCTGTCAAAGAGATTTTCCACATTTGATGTGAATTATTATTATTTTTGTATGTATTGCGGTTTGAAATTCAAATTTCTTCAATTGAAAACATGTAAAGCGTCATAAATATTACGATTAGAGAAAACGCAATTTAAATGTAAAACTTCAATATGATTTAGGTAGTACCACTTGTTTATAAGTTAAGTTACCGCTAGAGCTTTCGTAGCTGCTCCAAAAGTTGAAAATGGAATATGTATCACTACTGTTATCCTACTATCATGGCATAGTTTGGCAATCCATTCAGGCGATGAGAGTTGACCGCATTTTATTTCAAAAATGTGTTATTTTGCAGTCCACACAAAGCTCGACCAGTTTTAATTTACTTTAAAAATTGAATTTTTTTGTGCAATGGCCATCAAAATCTTTATCGCGTATTTTCCCAATTCATATTTATCAATAAACCCAAAAATATTCAATTTATGATTTATGAGCATGCTAACGAGCAAAAATATACATAATGTGCGTCGATTATCTTTTCTCTCAAGTACTTCTTCTTTTGTCTTGGGAATTTTTTTTGGCAATTAACGCAACGCCCGATAAGAGTACGTTTACTTTGGAAATTGGTAACCACTGTCAGTTAAAAAATGTGTATTGCGTTTTTCGCAATCCATATTAATCAAAAGATAAACAAAAATGGTATGATAGAGTCGAGCAGGTTCAATTCTTGAGGAGTACCCACTCAAAAAACAAATTAAAATTGTTTTAAATAACTTTTTGTCACTGTCATTTTATCAATCTCTGATACTTATAAGAGTGTGTCAAGCATAAATCTGTGGTGTCTAAACAGATAATATTGCTGATATGTTTTCGGTTAGGATTTGTCTATCTTGCCTTCTAGTTTATACCGTATACCTTATACCTTCTAGTTTATTCCAATGCCCTTTTCAAGCTAATCACAAGCTTCGATTATGTTAGATTTAATTCTTAATTATTGTCGGAAATAATTAGATATTCAAGTATAGTACAAATTGTCTTTTTGTGGAAAAAATAAAACGACCACGTTTTTTATGTGCACAACTTTATTCATTTGACTGTGTCCGTGGTTGCGCAGTTTTATGAACTTGATGTTCAATTTTTTTCTAGACTTTATGATTGCCACAAATTTTCTGCTACTCTTATTGTTCAGCAAACTTATTGCTTGATTTATATGGCACAAACAAACAGACTGCATAAACAAACATGACCGGGAAATACTCCTTCTTACCACCGTATACATATTTTTTTTGAAATCATACGCCATGTTGCACAATTGCGAGTCGTGTAAATATTGCATAAATTACGGGGCACATTGTACTTTTAATGATGTTAAATTAAGAGCGGCGATATAACAATAAAAACTGGGTAAAAAATTAGAGCGACCAATGAAGCATGAATGAAATGAAGTCTGAAAATTTGCATTTACGCTCATTCGGTACTTTGGGGGATGAACCGAAAAGTTTTTTTTGGCAGTTTTTTTTTTGTGTTTTACGGTTACCGAAGTAACTAAAATACATACATATATCAAATCAAGGTTGAAAAATATTTAGCTTAGCTGATTTTTAATGCCGATTTTTTGTTGTGCATACTTACATATGAATATAAAATTCCCCTAACCAATCGAATTTGTTTTTACACATAAATAATATTGTAGTTGTATAGACTTTTTTAATTTTTACTTTATAAGTCTTCTCTTTAAATAAATAATCTTGTTGAGAAGCACCATTTTAATTTTAATATTCTGTTTTGTTCATCTATGATGTTCTAAAGAAAATGTTCTAAAGAAAAATTCTAAAGAATTAGTTTTTTGGTTTTATACTTTTTTTATTTAACAGAATTGAATAATAATAATTCCTCTCTCTTGCTTTACCTCAATTCATAAATTTAAATTTTGTAGGTAAACAAATATGGCCAATTACTCAAGATTGTCTTCAGTACTGAACTGTAGGCTAAATTACTATATAATCGAAATATTCGATTCGATATTAAGATATTAGACTTGGCGCCATTTTTGTCCGTGCACATTTGTGTATATATTTTACAACGAAGCACATGAAACTTTTATTCATTCAAAAAATATAGAATGTAAATAAGTCATAGATATGGCCATTCCTATATGTACAAAAGAATATGTATGGTGTCCGTTTGGTGTTGGAAGATAAATGCGTATGAATACATTTCTCAGATGGTTGCAGTTGCGTTTTATATGCGCAGTATCGTTTCTCGGTCGTAAGGAAACAATATTACCATATAAAGTTATGCGCCAACACATGCAAATCGTGGCAAAAATGGCGCCCAACTTTAGCAGCGTCATGCAATTGAAGCAAATTTCAAAATGGCCAATGAACTTTCGTATCGGATGTGGATCGGGATGGGTATGGGGATGGGGATGGGGATGGCGGAGCAGAATGTAAATGTAAATGGTTTTTAAAATGGTTAAGCACGCGAACAGCTGCTGCCGCGCCTTTTAATAATTGGAAATGTCTGCAACAACTATAATAAGTACAACAACAGCAACAAAAGTAATAACAACAACAAGAACTATAAGTATACTAACAAACATATATGCAAACAACGGCAACTTCCGCTTGTTTCTCTTTCTCTCCGATTTTGGCATACGCGGCAAGTTTCGCTTCAACCGTCGAGTTAACAAGTTTGCAGAAATGGAGCGGGACGCGGGTTGTAGGAGGGTAGTGGTTTGAAAATTGCAATCTAAGCGGATAATGGGCAGCTCTGTGAGCACTGCGGATACTACGAACTCGATTAGCTTAAAGTGCATGCCTTAATTAGCGTTCACTTTAAGGGCAATTCTTGGTCATTTGCGTTTAGCGCTGAACACGCCCCAATTATAATGAACCACAATATCTGTATACATGTTCCGACAATGTAAATGCATTTTTCAAATTACGAAGGCGTGTGTACGTGTGTTTGTCAGTATCTAACAGATACAAAAACACCATTTCTCTGCACTCAATCATGCGGCAGCTTTTTCGATAACGACAGACATGTTGGAGTTTGTTCGCCAGCTGTTCGTCACTTATTGTTATTGTTGTTGGCTTTTTTCGTTTACTGTTGTTGTTTTCGGTTTTATCATTGACGTTCGACATTCTGTAAACATTCATGGACAAGGCCTATCAGCACATGCTATAATATTTAAATAATTAAGTTCATAACGAAGGCAGATTTCAATAACAAAGCCCCAAAACATTTTTTCATTATCTATGTATGTACATGAGTCAAAGTACATTTGGATGAGTGGCAGGTTATTGATAAACTTTTTAAAAAAAATTAACATAGTTCTCGATTTCAGAGTTAATTCAAAATGCTGGGATAACACTGTTATATCTTAATGCGATATCCGTATTCTCGTAGATTTAAGCAAACAGATGTATAATACGATAATTATTTTTGCGGTTGATGGCAGTTGGAATGGGCTTTGATTTCTTCTTTCCGTTGCAAAAATATTTGGGAACTATGATCTTCTTACGATTTAAGGAAAATACATTGAGAACAAGAGTAATTTAAAAGTCTTCATGTTTAAGAGCTTGAATGCCAAAGACTATTTTCCATAGTAGTTCCGATCAACTTTATATTTCAACCAATTATTAAAATGTAAAATAACATTCATTTTGTTTTTTTTTTTTAATATGTTGCGAATTGGCCTGCAGATTTGGCCATAACACGACAATTTAAAATTGTTTTTATATATGTATGAGAGCACTCTTAGAATTCTAAGCCGATTCGAATCGTATCACATTATGCGATTTCTGAATAAAATGTTTGCAGAGGAAAATTAGGCAGCGCTGCTGAACTTTTGTAAAGAAGAAAAAATGGTATCTCGTTAAACTAAAAATAATATTATTCTTAAGACGCAAAAATTAAATTCGTGCATCTCCAGTTTAACTCTGAAAACAAATATTTAAAAGGTTAATCAAGATAGTTCTTCTTTTCATTATTTTTATTGGAAATGAAAACGCAATTCGTAATTAAAATATAATGTGTAAATATCTACATATTTGTGAACTCGGCTTAAGCTTTATTTTTGATGTGAATTGAAACATATTTCATTTTATTAAAAAACCACACTTTACTTTGTGGAAAGGAAAGGATTGCTTATCTCAGTACCGAATTGATTATAATCGGCTGATTAGACGAAACTATTAAACGCTTATCACCAATTGTCATCTCTCAGCGTCAGTAGAACAATGTTTGGAAACAAAATATTTATATATTTATTACGAAATTCCCTATCATATTCGTACATATGTACATACATATTATCTCACACTTCTACACGAAGCGACGGATGGGCCTTACATACCAGCAAAGAAATTTAATATCACTCTTTTCTCCATTTCAGGTTCCTTTCCGTGCCTCAAAGTGCCGGAGAAATGCAGCAAAAATAGTTTGCAGTAAAAGCAAAGGTAGAATACTCTTTTAAATAAAACAAAAAAGAAAAAGAATAAAAAATCGCCGACTCCAACAGAAAAGAATGCTTGCAAAGTTGTTGTTGTGTCTTTTTCGTGTTGTTGGAGTGATAGCGTAATGCCCAATAATGATATTACAAAAATGTGTACCGAAAATTTCAGGCTCCATTGCGTGGTCGGCAACTTTGTGTTCCCCCTCTCTTCCATTTTCCTCGCAGTGGCCCACAGAGCGTAAAACAATCGGAAAAGTAACCCCACTTACACACAAACACACACAAACACATAGACACACACACGCTCTCTCTCTCTCTCTCCCACACACTCACACAAACACAATTATACAAATACAGTAAAACAAAAGGAGCAGAAAAGGAAACAAAGTTAAAAAGCAAAGCAAATAAAAAACGTGGCCTCACATTTTATTGAAAATCAGCTGAAAAATCAACAGAAAATAGCAATTTTAAAGCATTGCAGCAACAACAAAAACAAGAACAAGAAGAAGAAGAAGAAGAAGAACAGCAACAACTAACAGAAACAATAGAAAATACAAAGCGAATCGAATGAAATCAAAACAACAGAGCAGAGTAACAAGACCAACACGCAAAAAACAAGCGCCAGCACGTGCAGGGGAGCAACAACAACAACATCTATATCTAAACAACGACAATGAAAGGAAACATCAACAACAACAACATGGGGCTTGGTAAATCCATTAAAATGTACCTGACCATATTCGTCGCCACAACCTGCATTTACATGCTGATCTATCAGTATCACATGTCCACCCAAGAAATCGACTCAAACGAAGTCATCAAGGTGAGTCTGAGAGCGCCAACCCCTCCTTCCCCAACCGCCTAACCGACCAACAACTACTACTTAATCAACATACACACACACACATACATACATACATACATACTAGATATGCACTGATAAGTAATCGACGTGTAACGGTGCACTCAGGAGTTTTATGCTAGTCTTGTTCTTACACATTCGGTTGTTTCGGCTTGTTTGTTGCCAGTCTTGGACAGCCAGACAAGCAAACAAATAAACAAATCGTTTTTAATTAGTCAGCGTGTTTTAATTGAATGTACATGAACATTACATACGAGTACCTGCAAGTTAACTGCAGGAGAAATGTGCACAAATTTGTTTATTTAGCCCTGCACTTGCATAATAGTAATATCTCTTAATTAATTCTGTATGTGCATAAGACATTATCTTTAAACACATTTACATAATATTTGTTGGTGCGTGGTAGCTTATTTGTTATTGGTATAAATAGCATATGCATACAAACATACATACATATATACAAGTAGTTATGTAAGAAGAAGTATCAATTCTGCCTACAGCTAAAGAAGGAAATATATTAAATTCAACTAATTACAGCTTCAGTCACATACTATGTCATCACAGAGTAGAAATTAACTCAATAATGGGGGAGGCTACAAATATTAAGTGCCTGGGCTTTGAAATGATTAGATCGCCGAAAATCACATCTGTACAGTGATGTCCACCTATCTGTGTAAAACCATCTATAATTCGTAATAAATTGAAAACTTTTGCATAACAATTTATTCTCTATACTTCAAATGTACATGCATACATATACATTGCTTGAGGCGAATATATATTTAAGCAATTTATCGACTTAATTAAGTAGAAGAAAGGAATACACATTACTTTTATATGGCAAGGGGTTAGCAGGCTCGGGTTTCTCATTCTAAATAATTTAAAACAGTTGCCAAAAGCTCCCATTTAATTTTTGTGATAAAAGAGTAGTAAAGAATAATACCTGCTTGATAGCAAGCATTTAATTATTATATTAATTTTGGAAGTTTACCACAATTTGAATAAGTATGAATAATAATTATATTCAATGGAACTACTCTGTATACTTCCAATTCAACAAACCTTAATCTTTCAACGTTAATTAATTGTTTCTTCTTCTGCATTGCAAGTAAATGGTTTGGTGTCAACAAATAAGCTGTCAAACGCGCCGCAACCTTAAACTATTTATATAATTAGTACACTACTTCTATATAGAAGAATACGCACTTTTAAATTGTTATTGTAACTTTCATCTAAAATACTCTTTTCTATTTCTCATTACAAAATACATTTTCGCCAATGTCGTACAAATAATAAACCAACTAAAGCATCAAGATAAATCATCATTATCTTCATCGTTCGCTTCATATTTCTGGGCGCTAACATCAAATGGCTCCTTAGCTAATATAAACGACAATAGCAATACCATAGCAACAACAACATCAACTGCAGCATCGTCCTTGTCAACGGTTTCATTAGCTGCAACTGGCGCCACATTGATGACATCATCAGGCTCATCACCTCCATCATCTTCATCAACTTCATTAACATCTTCACCGACGGAAAAGCGGGCTGCCAATACAAGCAAGTCGTTGTTAACAACAGCCGGTGCGACTACAACAACAACAACAACTACAATAAGAACAACAACAACCACTAGAAAACAGACAACTACATCAACAAATACAACTAGAACTACAAGCACAAGAGGGACAAAGCCAAAAGCAAATCAATTTGGAACACTCGTCCACGCCACGAGTTCTTTAGCAGCGACATCGGCGTCAACGCCAGCTTTAGGCCGGGTTCGAAGACCCCGCGAAGCATTTGTTCCTGTTCCAGAGCCCGTAAATATTTCGATATATTTCCTCAATTAGCCATAGTGCACCGCCAATGCAAAAACAAAAACCAAAAACCTTAAACATAAACAAGTACAAGAACCACACTAGATACAGAAAACGCAAAAACTAATTACATTTCAGCACATTATATTTCCTAGCATTGTAATCTTTAAATGGCCACTTCAAGCTTATCTGCATAATATTTCTTTTTACATATACATAGTCGCACAATGCATGTATTCGCTATACTATGTATGTACTCGTATATACTTATATATCGGTCGGACTGTGTGTGGTGTATGTTCGAGAATGCACTTTATAATGTTGCATGTAAGTTCTACTCTACTATACGTATTGAGATGTTTTTTCAGTTGTTACAATTTCCTGTAGCTCTGCCTCATTTACGCCACCACGCCACGCCATTAAGCTTGTTTATTTTCCATTTTCCAATTTTCTTAATTGCTTTTTTTAACTTGGCTCATTGCAAGTTTCAGCCCAATCGCACTCCCGCTCTCAAACCGGGCTTTCAGTAAATTTTAAAATTGTTATTTCTTTGTATATGTCACAATGAGCGACAATTAAGGGACGAGGTTCATTAAACTGATGACGTGCTTTATATATTCATAAGTGCCAGTATTATTACTACAAATTAGCTGCTGGAGAAGCACATTTAAGTAATTTTATACATTTGATTAATTCAATACAAATTACGACTATGATTAACTAGCTATATATATTTCTGAGAGGAGGAAAGGTTTCATGTTAATTAGAAACAGCAGAGATTCTAAGGCAATTAATGAATTCATTTGTAGACTGCACAAAACAGAAAGAATACAAAATAAGGGACATACGTCAAGGTAAATGCAGATAAGTAGATATAAAAAGGAAGATGTTGTCGTAGATGTTGTGAGCTTTATAAAGGCATCTAGAAAGTTTGTAAATTTCCCCAATGGTCGGCTAATTTGTCAAACCATTCATAGCTTCATTAATTAGACAATCGATTAATTAAACGTAGCTATGTATGAGCAATGGACTCTAATTAGATATCAATTATTTGTAAGGTGTATGCATCTTAAGTTAATTAAATTATTAAGTTGACTAAAAATTCTACAAGTCTGTCAGATCAGAAGTGGAATTCAGCCCCTTGCAATTCAGTGCTTTTTTTCAACTAATCTATATATTGACAAACGTCTATAAAGTCCAGTACAAGTATTACGAGTATGTAGCTGTATTTGGAGCTCACATCAAGATGAAGATGATGAGTATGGTTTTTTATTATATTAGGAATGGACTCTAATTAGATATCAATTATTTTAAATGTGTATGGATAGGTGCATCATAAGTCAATTAAGTCAATTAATGATTTATTAAGAAACCTAAAAACTCTGCAAGCCTGTCAGATCAGAATTCAGCTCCTTACAATTCAGTGCTTTTTTTCAAATAAAATCTATATATTTATTGACAAACGTCTATAAAGTCAAGTATTACGAGTATGTACCTGTATGTGGAGCTCACTTCGAGATGAAGATGATTAGTATGGTTTTTTTTTTCTATAAATTTTCAACCCACTTTAGTCCACTTATACATATATTTAATTTATTTTAACTTTAGGTTCTTCTTATTCCCCGTTTGGTGTTTAAAGAACTTAACGTTTTCAGAACATTCCATTTTGCTGACTCATTTATTTCCACATGAAAGATACAACATTTTTATAATGTTCATATTGGTGTGCGCATCGGTAGCGAAAATTGTTGTCTTCTGCTCATTTCAATTTTCGACTGCATGTAGAATGAGATAATTGATTGATTATGGTATTCAATGCGTCATGCCTACGGGCGAGCTGTGCACAATATTACAACCAATTTCCATTCCATTGCTAATGTTGGTTCAATTTCCATTAGTGTCTTTGCCAAGTTAATGTGAAATTGGCAACAGTAAATATGTATGTATATGGCGGCTTATTGTGGGCAACCCATTAACATGGGCCTTTGTTGTTACAATATTATGTTGCATGATTCATCAGCATCAGTGTATATTTGCCAATATACACCAGTTCCCCGTACATACATACCTCATTAAAATTGTTTGGTAGACTTTTGTTGTTGCCGTCGGTCGACAAACAAAATGAAGTGCAAATCAGCTGCAAGTAGTATAATAAACTGGAGCACAGCTTTTTAGGTTAATCAGCTGCAATATGCACGTATCTGTGTCTATGCATGTCAACAATATGCTGCACGCCCCACCCCATCCTCCCCCCAATCCACACCAGCTGTAAATTATTTGCAAACAAAAAGATTTTAATTCAAAATTTGCATGAGCCTAATATGAAAATTGCGTGTGCTCTGGCTCTGGCTCTGTCTCGACTCTCGACTCGATTCTCTATTCCCGGCACGGTTCATGCACACAGAAACCTAAAAATCGAGACCGCGTCATTGCAGCAACAACAATGCCAACAACAAGAACAACAACTAATGCACTAGGGGGCAGCATTGAATGGCATTAGGCTAGAGACGCTCCTAGACGAACTGCCGGGCGGGATAGCTAGCTTTGCTTTATTCTGATTCTGATTCTGATGATGATCTAGATTCATGAAAAATGTAAGCCAATTGAAAAGATTTGCGCGTGTTGCTTGCAGTGGCTTTTGTGCATTTTTGGCTTACTTATTTATTTATATATTTATTTATTTATTTTTGCATTTAGTACAAGTGCCCAACGATGCGCTACAGTCAATGTCAAAGGCAGCATCAATTATGTACAGCGGATTTGGTAGCCGACTAAAGTTAGAAGCTTCTATTCCCAAATAAGAACATGCTATATATTTTTTAGAAGCCCTAAGCTCCCAAGCGGAGTAAAAAGGAATAATATATATATATATATATATATATATATATATATATATATATATATATATATATATATATATATATATATATATATATATATATATATATATATATATATATATATATATATATATATTTAGTAAATAATACTGCAAACACTCTGAGTTCTTTCAGGCTTTTGGCCTTTTAGCAAAAATTATTACTATTAATAAACAAATAGGTCCTACAACGCTAAAATGTATTTAATTCAAAAGTAATGTCCAAAATTTTAATTGTTAGACTTGATAGATCAGAAAAGTTAGCTATAAAGTTAATCCACAGTCGAATCTAGTTCATGTGCTATTTGGGGATGATTTGAACTATAAATTATGAAATAACATCTCTTTCATGTACTATTTGGGAATGACTTAAACTATAATTTATCAAATAACATTAATTTACAGTTTGTTCCCAATTTTTGTTGAGCAAACGCAATAAGATGTAGTTTATTTTCTTTAGGATTATTGTGTTTAGCTAATATTTCCATTGAACGAATTGGGAGATTATTAGATTATTAATTAATAATTAGTTAATTACGGTTATTAAATTGTGTACCTTATACTATTCTGTTGCCCTTCCATACCAAAGAGTAAACATCATTACTTCGACTCTTGTGTCTTCAATTATTTGAAACTGTTGGAAGCTTGTAATTGATTCATAATTTCTATAACTACAATGATACTATAACTTATATTTAGTTACTACAAAAAGATGACAGTCATATCAAGTTATTTTCCTCACTGGTTAGTTTTTTAAGAGAAAGATAAAATAAGAGAAAAATGAGCAAAAATCAACACATTCGTACGATTTCAAGAAATTGAACCCTAAATGATTTTACTTTAAAAACATTCGCAACTAAACTAAGCTATGAATATGCATATCGTTACTCAAAAACTTGTGCAATATTTTTAAAAATGTTGCTTTCCACCCAAACGAAGCTTCACACCTACACGGGCAGGCTATGCCGATGGTCGATGTATTTAAATGCCATCCATTTTCATTCACTATTTTTGAATACTTACATACATACGAATAATTTGCATGTTGCACGCCCACAATTTAGCACTGCATGCTCCCCAACTATCAAGCACCACCTATTAAACCCCCACCTATCACCCCCGACCTATCATCTATGTAGTAGGTTTTTGTCCGCTTTGAAAATAAATTTGAATGCATTTTTGAAGAGTTTTGTATGCCAACGATTGGACAATTGGCACTGTGTGCGCCACTTTATTTATTTTATTTGTCGTTTTGTGTCATTCGACAATAAAATGTGTATTTAGAATTCGGCGACAATGCCGTTAGACACGCAGCCCTGGAGCGAGCATTTTTGTTTTTGTTTTTTTTTTGTGTTTTTTTTTTTTGTTTTCAGTAAAGGCCAGCAAGTCGGCTGTAAATTAATTTGCATAATTGCTCATAAAAGTGGGGCACACACCGTGCTACGCATGTCCATGTTGTATTAAAAATACAAATGCGATAGTTAGTCGATGGCATTACTTAACGGCCTCCGTTCTCGCCCCACAGCCGCCCCTCTATATAATCACACCCACATACCGGCGACCGGAACAACTGGCCGAGCTAACCCGACTCGGCTATACACTCAAGCATGTCACCAACTTGCTCTGGCTGGTCATCGAGGATGCCAACGAGACATCGCCGTTGGTGTTCGACATCTTAGACCGCATTGGGGTGCCCTATCATTACCTGCTGGGTGAGTACAAGAGGTTCGCGGACTCTGGTCAGTCCTCGCATGTTCGACACTCGTTTCCACATTATTTATATTGTCATGGTTGCCCTTAAATGTTGCTTTTCTCTTTAACCCCATCCCACAGCGCCTATGCCCGCTCAGTACAGAATCAAGCGTTTTAAGCCGCGTGGAGTCTCGAATCGAAACCGGGGCCTGGCCTACATTCGAGCCAATGCCACCGAGGGCGTCTTCTACTTCGCCGACGATGACAACACCTACGATGTTAGCTTATTCGAACAGGTAGGTACTAGGTGCAAGCCCTCATCTGGGGGTTGAGCTGGCACCGACATGTGCTTAGTTTTAGCAACACAAACAATAAAATAATAGTGAATACAAAAATGTTACTAATTCCTAATTAATCGTTGGAAATACCTGTGAGTGTAGGCCACACCGATGCCTTTCTCTTTTATCAGTAGCTGATAAGTGGTAAGGTAATTTATTTGTACGGTGCGTACTGGAAAACTGGAGGGTACACCCCTCCTAAGAAGTCCATAACAGCTAGAGACACCAACTTTAAACATACATACTTATATTATTTATAAGCAGATCAGGTTATTACCAACCATCTATAGCTCCCTTTTTTTATATTGCTGGCTAAAAACAAAACATACCCCTTGTTGCTTAAGATTAAATAGTTTGAATTGGCACTTTGTCAAGGCCCCAACTAACGGATATTTTATTGAGATTTGTTTTAAATTTGAATTAAGACCTATGTGGATCTAATTTGCTAGTAAAGAAAAAATGTTTATACACCTAATTCTGTTTTTACACGGTACATTGGTTCCTAAAACAGGCGTGTAAAAAAAACCGTTTAAAAAAACCTCCTACATGGAATAAAGTCGTGTAGCCATACAAGTATATAACAATTTTAATTTCCAAACCGTGTTAAATCAAAACCGTGTAAAAACCGAATTATGTGTAATTGTTTAACATCTTAAACCCGCGGATGGTTTAACCCGAATCTACTTTTATGTACATAGATGTGTAATTTATGATCACGTTCTAAACTAAAACATCTCTATCTGTCGCTGATAATAAAACAACAGATGGAGACCAAAATATGAGCCGTACTTGAGCAATAACTATAAATAGCCAATTTTTAATAACCCCAATTTCAATCAAATCATAAATTTATATATACTATATGTATACTCTGTTTAAAAGTCAAAGCCTCTCCTTAATTGGCGACTATTAATATCTTTTAAATATATAATACTTATATAAACCTGAATAGTTATCTATCATTCAATACGAAAGAACTTTATATTTTATTAAATGAGGAAAAGGCGTTTCTTTTTATATATAACTGTCAACGTTGAAGTTTTTATGCAACCTATAGTAAAATATGATATTTCTTAGTAAATATTTGACGCAGTTGGATAACATTTGAAATTTATGTACGTCATGTTTTTGTTAAAGTTATGAACATTTCCTGCTTCCCTTTATCTGTGAACATACTTATATTATCTACATACTATATAGTATACCTATAGATAAGGCATACCAACAAGCAATTGCTAATAAAATGTACGCCAAAATCGAAAAACCCAAGAGGTGTTCAGGAAAGAGTTCTACTTGTATACTACAGGGAATAATCTTTGCTAGCTATTGAAAGGTCCTGTGCATTTTTGTTACAACAGAGACTAGACTTTTCTCTTATTTAGTTATATGTTTGACAAAAATTCCTGCGTCGTAGAAACAACAATATTGAATTCAAATGCAATCCTTGACCTTCCCCATAGATGCGCTACACAAAAATGGTGTCCATGTGGCCGGTGGGACTTGTAACCAATACTGGTGTTAGCAGTCCTATTGTACGCGACGGTAAGCTAAATGGCTTCTACGATGGCTGGATTGGTGGACGCAAATATCCCGTGGATATGGCGGGCTTTGCGGTGAGCGTTAAGTTCCTGCTCCAGCGGCCGAATGCAACGATGCCATTCGTGGTGGGCTATGAAGAGGACGGTTTCCTACGCAGCTTGAAGCCGCTGTCGAATGATGATATCGAGCTTTTGGCCAACAAATGTACAGAGGTGAGTATGGAAACCAAAAATATCCGCCCAATAGTTAAAATAACCTTAATTTTTCTGCAGATACTCACCTGGCATACGCAGACAAAGAAGAATCCGTCCGCCATTGCTTTGAATCAGACCCGCTATGGCGGCACTAATCTAATCGCCATTGATAAGTTGCTGGTGCGATCGTAGAAACGTCCGACCCGATCTATGTAGTTAGGATACATAGCTATATAAATACAAACAAACAAACAAACACACATACATATACAATGTAGGCGAGTGAGCTCACAAAGTGTCCGTGGCTTAAACCAATTGTACAGGTACAATCTTGGGCTTAAGTCGTTTCATACTACACCTATACACGTACATACCAACTAATTATTATATTAACTAGTGGAATATGCATAATCACTTATGTATGTAAGTTTGTATGTGTGTGTGTGTGTGGCATATGCAGACGAATTCATGTAAATTCCTATTATTAGTAATTAGTTAGAATTTAAATAAAGCGCACACATTTTCTAAAATATTTACGAATATACACAGGGCTAGTGTGTTTGACCCCAGCCGGCAATATACAAACATACATACATACTTGCTATAAATATAAACTTATACATATGTACATAGATATGCTAAGTATTGTATTTATATTAGAATTACATATGTGCACTCCGTCTTGGACAATTTTGTATATACATACATACTTTGGTAATTGCAATATACATTTATAATTAATTAAGCCTAGTTTTTTTAGGCGAGTAACTTCTCTATTGATTATTATGTTTATATTAAATATACTGTGCATTTCTCTTAAAAAGACAGAGACCTAAAGACAAATTTTAGTTCATAAGCTTGTAATCATCCTCAACTGAATCCATCAATCTGCATTCTATGAAGGAAAAAATGTTTATTAAGTTCCTAAATATTTCTATGATGTACATTTTGGCAGCATTCCTGCAACGTCGTTGATCTTGTACGCCTCTATTTAGCTAAACAGAACTTTCTTATTATAAATATTTAATTAATTCTATACCAGATTATTCTTCTACTTGAAATGTTTAAATCAGCGATTAGTCAGCTATTCCAAAGTGCAAATTATTTAATTTTTTTGTTGATATTGATTGATCCTTAAAATGGATACTAAACAGAGGCATCAATGACGGTTCGTCCCTCTCCGGGTTCATGCTATAGGCCCTGCTTTATGAGCTCTACGATAATGCTGTTATTCACTTGCAAAAGGGTCAGGACATTGCCGGAATACTTCCATGATTCCTTGATTAAACACTATTATGCCTGTAATACCGCACTCTACGCACAGATACGTATGCCTATATTAATAAGTGTTTAGTTTCACATTTACTTTGAACCTCTTACTTTAGCTCCTTAGCTAAGCTTTAATAAAAATCCTTCCACTTGGAATGTAGGTTTATAGCACTTCTGTTGAGTTTTTATTATTATTTTGCCCAATCCATTATCTTCAGCTCTTTGCCTCGGACCAATGCAAATTTAAGTAAAATGTCAAGGTTGGCTGGCAACTTACCACATTTCGGGGCATGGTGTCGAATAAACAAATACATTCAAGTACCGTATTTCCCACATTCTGTAAAGCGTCAACAGAATCAACAAACAAAACAGATATTCTCCAGCAGATGTGGGTCGCAACCATTTTAATAATTCAAGCCGACATCAAGACAGTTTTGCCAACACACTCACACATACAAACACATACCAACAGCCTTTTTGTGGAATCTTCTTTAGAGACTTGGACTCAAAATCGCGTGCCATGTGCAACAAAGAAGGCACGTCAACAGATACTGAAACTATAGTCGAAACAAATTGTTTGGACAATTACCAAAAAACTAACAGAAATCATTTTTTTGTGACATTAAATGAAAGCTACATAGTTGAAATGAAATTCAATAACAACTCAAAGTGACAAATTACAAATTTAAATCGTACAGAAAACAAACAAACATTTTCCTCTGATAGCAATAGTGGATCTATAAAAATGTTTGTATTTAGTTTTATAAATAATTTAAAGCACGCTCGAACAAACAAGCCAAAATCCTTTTAATAAATATAAAATTCATATGAAGTACAGAAAAATAAATATTTTTTTAAGACAACTTTGCAAAGAAAAACTTACTCAACAAACACTTTTCTAAACTTTTTCAATTTGTACAAAGTTAAGCCGATTAAGACGATTTATGACATTTGTCAGACTATGTCTAAAAAATACAAAAAGATGTTAAGCTAAAATCTATTATGGTTTCGTCACCTGTTACTACTTTTGTTTCTCAATTTTTAATCAATTTTCAAATGTTTTTTTTTTTTAAATGAATTTATATTACTGTTCTAATAAAGATACGCAACTTTGTAAATGTTTTTTTTTTAACGAAGAAGAGCTTAATTTAAAAATTTTTTTTATAAATTATTTCACAGAACAGTAAAGTAGACGAAAAAAATGTGTGATGGGGACTGGATTTGGAAGCAAAAGTATTCTTGGTGTAGGTGTTAAGGAATAATTGATCAAATGATATTATCGGATTTTGTAGTCAACAGTAGATTGAAATTTTCATTTCAATTTTCAAATAACAAATTAATTTAGTTGATTAGGAAAGCAAAAAAGTTTCAATTTCGTTATCTTTTCTTCTATATCTACAAGTATAACATCTACGAATACACCCTACAATCTTTTTTTTTAATTTTTCTCTAGTTCTAGACTTTAAATTTTATTAATAACATTGCATTTTATGTAAATAATAATAACTAACGAACTTCCCAAAGCACTAAATCTCTAAATATACTAATAATAGAAAGAGGAAGGAAAAAGTGTAATACTAATAATGTACTTATTAATATGTATATGAGGTCGAATGTCAAACGGTACTGGTCGGAATTTTTATACAACTACAATGTATTATATACTTAGCTGTATAAGCAATTAGCTAGTTAGGTACTTTCTAAATATTTAAAAATATATAAGTATTATGAATATAAAAGTAATAATAATGTATATTCATGATTTCTGGTGAAAATCACTCAAATATTCTTAACAACTCAAATTAAAATACAAACCACAGATAAACATTTTTCTTATTCCACTTAAAACAATAAAGTAAAGAAACGCTGAAAACGGGGAAATTTGTAAAGAAATTCAATCATTTTACAAACAAGAACATTTAACAAATAAAAGTAAAGATTTCTTAACTATTTATAAAAACAACAGCGACTGCGCAATTTAAATCAAACAGCATTCATTTGGGTGGTTCTTTGAAGAATATTGGGTGATCTATTGTTTATTTTTGGTACATTTCTCATTAAATGGCTCCAGGCGGCAGCATCAACTCGTCGGAGGAACTGCAGTCGCTCTATTCTTTGGAGATTCGGAGACGTGCAAAGAGAGGCATTTGTAACATTTCTCTTTACAAACAGCAGATTTGTGAAATTGCCTTTCCATATTATTGTTGATTGCATTTCAGAAATATGCCTTTGTTGCTTAGATTATATGATACTCGAAATATTTTACGTGTATTTACCATCGCTGTTTAGCCCGATCAGATAATTGTTATTGTTAACATTTTTTTTGCTATTATCTTTTTAAAATACCCATTACCTATTCATTTTTACTCTAACAAGTGCATTTAAAAGTAATCAGTGAACTGTGTAGAAGAGTTTACAAAACACATTGTTCTATGGATTTTAACTGGATATAGTAAGCTTATAGTTTATCATTTTTTAGCTGCAGCTTTACAAAAATGTCAAATGTAAATAGGCAGAATTTTTGCATTAGTTGAATGAATAATATAATATAGTAATAGTCAAATAGTTGAGATGCAATTAATTCCTTTAAATATCCTCTATAGAAATAGAGGGTTAGAAGACAAGGAGTTAAGCGTTAAGTGAGATAAAATTGTAAAAGTACTTTTCTATAGTTTTCTATTCTTTAGCATATGGTCCCTATCTTCTAAAACGTTTCTAGTCGAACATAATCAAGCGTTAATATATTTAAAAAATAAAGCAAAAAGCACGATAATCTGGCTCGCCGATAATGATTTTGTGTTAGTTGGAATGATGGTTATATTATTTAAAAAAGTAAGCTTTTTAGTTTAAACAAATGTCGAAATATTTTGAATTTGTTCATCTTTCTCCCCCAATATGTTTTCCAATAAACTTCTATATCTACGGATTTGTAATCTCAATACTCTTCCATTAAAGAAATGGGTTCCGTAAAGATCAGCCTGAGCTGTCGAATTAAAACTAAATTAATTAATTAAACTAGTCTCCCTACTAAGGCTAATCCCCTATATTGAAAGCTATCGATCTGTAACAGTGCAGAGTGTGTTCAAAACGGACTGTGATTTAATTTCACTGCGATCGATAATATTATACCAATACCGTTAGGATTGTGGCGAATCCTAGGCTCCAGATAGAACTTACATGAATTGATGTTGCAGATATGTGTGTTGTTTTTCGTATTCTATGTATTACAGTTGCTGTTGTTATTGTTGGGGTGTTGGCATAGTATCGGTCAAGCGCCAAGCATGTCGATTTATATCATAGATCAAGAGACAACATAACAAGCTTACATGCTTTGAGTTTGGATTTTTAGCCTAATAGGTAACTATATAGTAAGAATGGTAAGCTATTCCAAAACCTGATGCTACATCCAACTAATAGTATATATAGTAGCTTTGTTAAGCTCGATAATACTTGCACAGATTTTGAGTTTGTCAAGTGTAAAATATGCTATGTATCTCTTGGCCTATGGATATCCATGGTGGCTAAGCAGTTCTACAAAGATTAGATGAGTAAGTGTAAGCTCGAAGCGCCCCAATGGATTATCTACTGTGTGGTACTAAAAAGATAACTCAACATCGATGGCTGCACGTGAAAGCTTATAGTTGCCTCTTCCCACTTGGTATGAATCAAACGCTGCAATGGCGTATTCAGCGTTGACTCCTCCTTAGCGACCACATCGCTGCCACCACCGCTAGCACCACTAGCAGCAACGACGACGCCAACACTGCCGCTAGCGCCAGCCACACCGGCAGCAGCACCTCCAGCAACGACGCCACCACCACCGCCGACAGCGGCTCCGGCCGCAGCGCCTTGCTCATCCTTGCCCGATAATGAGGTACCCTCCGGCGTTATTGGTTGGCGCTCCAACATGACCAATGCCTGCTCATTGTAGGTCCGATTGTCGATAGTCATCCGTATCTGATGGCCCGAACAGCTGTAATAGTTGACATCGAAACGCGACTCGGCGTGATAGTTGCGCAACAGATCCGGATTCCGATTGAATATCACGCCATAGTGTCCGGTACAGCTCGTAATCCATATGGGGTAGTTGGGTGTCTTCAAACGAGACCCCGGCTGACGCGACTGATTCACCGCAGCCTGTAAAGATATTGATTAACGATGTTATCCTATATGTAGAATATCGTATTTGAGGTTAAGACTCACACTCGATGATTCTATGTCCCAGAGCAGAAATCCGATCATGCAACGCTTTAGAACACCATATTGTGGAACCGCCTGTGTAATATATAAAGATTAATGAACTTTTTTTTATAATATAGGCAAATGATTTTAACAATTCCTATTTCTGTACTCCATAACAAAATATGTATAGAGATAATTTCATTTGCTATATATTTTGATTTTTAAGTAATATATAAAAAACTTTCGATCGAACTTTTCCTTTTTTTTTTATATATTAATGTCACCCGTCGAAGATTTAGCAACAACTTTAATTTTGGACAATTTTAAAACATTTTAAGTTTGCAGAACCAACCTATTAAAATTATATCAGTGATTTATACGTACATAACTGTTCTCATCGCCCACATTAACGACACCGTTGTGTAAGTAGGGCGTGGCACGGCCCGTCAACAGCAGCGTAACTATCATTAGAGAACCCTCTTCATTGTTACTCATCGTCAGGGGTGCTGATTTCGACGAATCCAGATCCGTCCGCACTCTGTTTAGTATTGTGATCGTACGAAAATGTATTGATTTAAAACCTTTCATTTATCAAATATATATTTTTTAATTTCATTTTATTTATTTTTTATATAATTTAGTTAATAGCAGAAGTATCTTTTTTTGAATTTGGAGAAATTATACCCTTCTTTGTTTTCAATATAACTTTATTTTGTAATTTTTTGTTTCAAATTCAAGTTTCAATAACTTTCCCTCAAAGAAGAAATTATGTTTTTTATTTTACTTAAAAAAAAAGTTAAATCTAAAAATATAAGCTTCAATTATTTTATAAACAATACATAGACAGCCTCGACAAAGTATTAATAAGAAAGAAAAGGAAACTCCTCATATTGATATGAAAAGTCTCTTTATTTTAAAGGTTTCTCAGCTCTTTGAAAAAAGAGCGTTTACAATTTCTTAAATCAATGGCAATGCTTAAATTTCTCCGAGTATAGCGGTGCACGATCGATATAGTGAAATTATGGGATATAAGTAGTGATTGCTGATTGTTTCATGCTTTTATGTTCTTTACTATGTTTTTTTGAAATCTTACTTTCCCATCGAACGCGTGAGTACGGCACTATAAAGGAAAAGCAGAGTACCCGGTGTTTCCTCCTCTGAAAACTTTGTGGGGGCACAACAAATATATCTCAAACAAAAAACAATGCAAGCATTGAACAATATATTTCACAAGTTATAGAAATTGCAGCATTAAGCAGAAATTTCTATAACTTTTATAAGTGTGTCTTACGTATTTAAAGTTCCGTTTCAAGAAATGCTCCAGTTCCTCGTTGGGCGAGAGGGTGAAGACGTACAGCTGAAATTAAAATCGATAATTCCTTAGAATAAAGGTAATGTAAAAGATATAACATATTTAATATGTATATAAAACAAACTCAAGTAATTCAATAAAAAATAATACATTTTTTAGACAACTTTAAATCAAACAATCCAAACGAATAAATAGTATGGAAAACGGGCACCAACTTTCTATGAAGAATCTGACATTTTCAACCGATTACATCCACACTTGGTTTTGAGAATGCTACAAAATAAACTAGCATAGAGGGTTTTCATTGAGGCGTTCATTATTGGTGTTTTCCCGTGAAAAATTGCTATAGATTCTATAGTATAGAACTCAAAAATCTATAGGCTATCAACGTGTAAGACCTAGGAAGCTTTAATAAAAGCTTAAGGTTTTTTGTATGGCAAGTTAGCACTAAGAAGCAGTTTTGGAAAATTCTAGCGCTGGCTAACTTTAATTTTGGTTTGTATAATGTAATAAGGAATACAAATTAAGCTGTGTAGTAGGTTTTTTTTTTTTGATTTTCATTGGATCAGGAAAGAAATGAATGCATATGTATGTATGTTCATTTATTTATTTTTTGTGAAGTTGTATATGTTGAAATTAAAAAGCTTGTTTTATTCTAGAAATTACTTGGCTTGAATATCACAATCATACATACATATGTATATATACATATATGTCTATATATACACACGAGTACATAACTACACACGTGTGGTGTATTCATAATATTGAATTAATTTACATAAGTATATGCCCTAGCTTTCGGTACACAGCAAAGTAATTAACTAGTGAGAAGAGAAATAATATACAATTAGTAAACAAAAATTCTTAGCCCAAGAAGGGCAAGATCTGCTAGTGCATATATACATAAGCATATTGCCAAAATATTTTTCATTCTTTTTGTTTATAAAGCTCAAAGTTTAGTAATTTTAAGCCTTCGTTTTAGGGAAGAGAATCTTGGTGTTCTGGGGGGTGAAGTAAGTGGTGATAGGGTATACAGATATCCAGGCTTTTATCATTAAATACATATTAGCCTGTCACTGACAAAAATGTGTACCATCAAGCAATAATGTTTGTCGCTCGGACACAAAATGCATCGCCGACTTATTGGGAACCTCAAATTTTTTGGAAAAGCATCAAACTTGTTTCTGCCCATCTACTGTTAGAGTTTTCCTCAAAATATGGGCGCTTTTGTTTGCTGAACTGTTTGTTCGATAATTAAATTCAATTATAAATCCAATAGAGCATACCGTGTGGCGTGACGAAAGTTACACAACATTTTTTCTTGGGTTAATCAAGCTTCTATTCAATTTATATAAAAGTTAAAGCACTTTCATTGGCTTACCTTTTCGGTCACAGAATCGTGAAAATAACTGGCACTGTGATCCACAAAGACTTCATCCTCCGATGGCAGGACCATAGTCACCTTTCCCTTGTCGGAAATGATGCGTAGAATTTCTAGCAGAGCGCAAAAGAGCGCTTCGCGCTGCATTTCCGCGGTGGCTAGAAGAGGACTATTACACACACACACACACACACACACAACAATTTATATTGAGGATTTCAGAAATCATGAGAGACTTGTACGCACTCTGCTAAGGACGCCGCTCGGCTACTCTTGCGGGCAAAGAGTAAATACTTTAGCACGAAACCCTGCACCACAGACAGAAGACCACGGGTAGCATTGCGGGGAGAGCGTAGCCCATAGGCCAGCTCCTCCTTGGCCGTGCCGAAGACAAAAGACGTTTGCAGCCACTCGGCGCGCATGGGAATCGCGGAGGTGCCAAAGACGAGGTTTCGTAGATCCTGTTAGAGATCCCAGTTAGTTGTTAGCGTTTAATTAATTGCTTCCCTGTTTACCGTAGCCAATTCTGTGGTTATGGGCGCACCGCCCTGCATGATAAACTCTTTGTTCATGATGCGCTAATTGGAGACCGTGTTATCCTTGTTCCGTTCGCCTAATTTCAATTTCCGCTCGAGACCAACGTTTCGCTTCGCGGCTCGCCTGCAAATAAATTCTCGAAATTCATTCGTTTAGCACTAGCTTGAATAACTTGGCTGGGCAAGGCTGACTCTTCGAGCTCTGACTGTCGGGCAGACAGGCCTCCACATCAGTCAGCCATTTCAGGCATTTCTCACATCAGCATGGGTTTTTAATTTCATATTTAGTCTCGGGCGCATGGGGCGTATGCGCAACCCTTGCAACAGCTCAGCCACGCCAACGAATCGCCCACAGTGGGCCAAAGAAAAAAACACTTAGTCACTATGAGGAGTCATTAGAATTGATAGGAAAATAGGAGCATGTTCTTAATTTGTTGGTCCTTTTTCTATATAATAGAATTAAAAAGTTTTTGTGTTTAAATGTTTATTCGAGCCAAAAAAAAACATAATAATACATAAAAAAAAATCCTCCACCATGCCGATTTATTGGTCAATGATCAGCTAAATTTCTGATAACGGCAAGGTCTGTGAAAAAAAAATATGATGATCGTCCGTGAAAGAATGTTTGCAGCACCAAAAAAAAAAAATTTTATACGACACATTAAAGATACAAATGTATCTATGTATATGATCAGTATAATGAGATGAATCGTGATGACTGTCTTAACATTTTGCCCATCACTTCATCTGTGGGCCTGTCTCATTCAATCCCTACTCCTCCCATAGTTTAACAGCTAACGTGTTTAAACTTCTTTCTAAAGGATAAGAGTTTTTAAAGAAAAACGTTTTCTTTTCAATGATAGTGGAACCAAACTGCATGTTGTTGTCCTACCTAATGGGCTTGTACCATCTGTGGCTAGCAAAAGACTAACCGCGGAGGACCAAATGAGAAAGAGGTTAAAAACTGTTTTCTAAATACAAATACAAGGAGATAGTACGGACACAGTACGTCTTATTATTTGTATAATTTCCAGCACACGAGGAATGGAGCTTCTTTTGCAAGGCATTGTGATGGTGCCCTTTTCATCTGTCTGTAATAGGCCTTAACAATGTCATTTACCCTTATAAGTTATCTTTAACAAACCCAATTGTAAAGCCATTTTATACGATTTTTTTGTATTAATATATTTTTTTTCAGTTAGAGCCCAACTTTTAGCCATGGTTAGGTGCTGCTAGTAAAACTGGCTAGTGAGGGGCTTGTCTGTCAGTCAACGTAACTTTAAATGAAATTGAATTGAATTTAGTTCTGTGTGTGGCACACGAAACTCAAAAAATGGTGCACTTGTGTGTGGCAAGAGCAAGTGAAAGTGTTACGCGGGGTACCGGATACCTTGCACCCAGCACCGAGCAGCGTGCAGCTGCCATAGAATATACATAGCTATATACATATATGAATACCCATATGGCTAAAAGATTTTAGAATGTTAAAGCTTAGCATGAGCTGCCGCCAGAGCGCCACACAACCGGAAATATGTAGTTGACGCCCATTTGTGCCTATTTTGAGGCGAGAACATGTGTTCCAACATTTGAATGAAGTGTGTCAACAACAACAAAAGCAACAGTAAGAATGGAAGCAACGATACAAAATGCCACAAGCAGACGACCAGCACTTCTCAAATTACCAAAATAATATTTTTAAATGTACAGAAATTTTATGGATTGGGCTTTGTCGGCGTTTAAGTTGCAGTAATTCCGCATATGATTGATTTGTTGGGCTGATGTAGTAGCGGGGCCTAAATGGAATTGAAAGCTGGTCTATTCCATATACAAATGTAGGTTACCATGCTTATTTGACGGCTGTTTAGCATGCTCTGGCCTTGGTGTTGTCTGTTATAATTAAATAAAAAACATTCGCCGAGTGTAACTCAATGGAAGCTCAGCCTTCGTGAGATGCCTAAAGTGCCCGTTAAGTGCACTGAAGGATGTCCAATCCATTAAATGGGCTTCAAATCAAACTTTTGACACTAAAACGGCTTCCCATTGCTTTTTTAAGAAATAACAAGCGAAGCTCACACGCAGCTGTCAGCTCCTAGTTAGGCGAAGAAATCATCTAAGCTGACATACAAAAAACTGCATTTGAGGGATATTTGTAAAGTTTTGCTTATATTTATTTTTTTTATTTATTAAATACACAAAATGGGCGTTGGATACAAATTATAATATTTATATAATGTACATGATTTTTTCCATAACTCCCGTAATTTTTGGAATTTGGAATACAAATTTGGTTATTACATCCAGTTAGTGATTATGTGTCCGTATCTTTAGTTTCATCTTGATTGGTCAATTCTGAAGTTATAGCCATAAATAAAATCGCTGCTTATGCTCTGCCTGCAGCTCTGCCCGCAGCTGTTGTTGTTGCTGCTTTGGTTCAACTCTGTGCTGCATAATACACGCATATAACCACGCAGAGACACGATTATGATGTAAATTTATTATATTGAAATTGCACATAAACTCTTGTGTATGTATTCATGTGTTGAATATTTTATATTTTATTTAATTAATTAATTTAATTAATTACATTTCTTTTAATAAGTTTTATTCTTAAATTTTCCTTTTTTGTGGAGAGAACATGGTGTTTTACTGTCGGACTTGCTCCAAGGTCTTCAAGAACATTGCCGACAAACGGAACTCATTGCCTTCCATGTCAAAGACTATGAGGTCAAATGGAAGCCCGTTAAATTTGCTAAACATACTACCGGTGTCTATGGCATGTGGAACATCTATATCTTTGCTCTGCTTCTTCTTTACGCCCCCAGCCACAAGCAGTGCCACACCACTGATAAGTTAAGATTTCATCCTAGTCTAAAGTGTATCGAACTTTATTGAAAATGGTGAAAATGGATGGTAAACACCTTAGAAATTTTTAAGCCTTTGTAAGAAAGTCTGGAAATTTTTGTATAGAATTCAATAATGTCGAAGAGGCGTAAAGAGCATACCACAAATTTAGTCCAAACACTGCTTTAAAAGTATTAAAAACATACAAATAAATAAAAATTGAATCTATTTATTAACTATTGTTAAATCAAATCGCATTTGATAAATAACCGTTGAATGAAGTAACTACTACCTTAAAAGTTTTGCACTATTTATAATTTGACAGCACACGTGTGTTGCATCGGGCCGGTCGGGGACAAAAGCTCGAATTGGCAGCATCGGATAAGGGCGCTAAACTTTAAATTTCGCATGAGCGCCATCTAGCGGTACCTAGCGAGGAGCCGGGGTGGCAACTGCGGTCGCACAGGCGCAGAGTTGCGGTCCGATGGTACTCGAGAGAGAAGGAAACGAGAGGCTACAAGAAACGGATGAAAAGGGAAAAAGGAGGAAAAAATCCGAGGCACATGGCATCCGGCCTATAAAAGGGGAGTCGTAGCACGAGTTTTTTGGTTGGGAGCCGTCCGGTCAACGACATGGTGGCAAGTTGACCGAGAGGAAAAGGCGTCCGCTAGCGCGCCAAAGAGAGCAGCACCAGCAGCGAAAGTCCACGCCAGTGCCAGCTGCACACCACCATCAACAGCGGTAGCAGCGCACCATTGGCAGCATCAGCACCATCATCAGCGGGTGCCACCCTTAACGACAGCAGCGGCCACTATCAGCAATAGCGCGGCCAGCAGCTCCCCCGGCAGATCCAGCAACAGCGGTAAATCCAGCAGCATGGGAGCAGACAACGGCTGCCAGAAACGGCCGCACCGACAGCACCAGCAACGCCAGTAGCAGCGCTAATGCCAGCAACAACGACGTCAGTCTGCGCCATCAGCAGCGGAGGAAGTTTCAGCGGTGAGTCCGTTCCTTGGCCACGCGCCGGTTACCTTTTTTTTTGAGCTGCAACTGCCAGGCAGTCGTCCTACGCGTCGTTTTATTGGTAGAAGCTGCTACAGCAAAGCAGCAGCCCAACGTGCTCCGCGTACCCGCCTGCCAATAAAAAAAATAAAATAATGCAAACACCCTCCCTAATGTTCATGCACATATACATACATTCGCAATTTATATACACACATAAGATCCAGATTATTTTCATAGACTTCACTGCTTATTAGTATTGGCTGTTGGCAAGCCTTCGTCGTATTGTTTTTTTTTATGTTTTATAATTGCATTTTCGGTCATAATCTTTACACCAAATTCATGTACACAAATAATTGTTAATATTTACGTTTATTCGCATTAAAATGTACTATATATGCATATGTAACCAAGCAATTTAAAATTCTTTTTATGGAAGCATTGTCTATAATGACCCGTTAAAGCAGCATCAGTAGGGGCGGGAGACTCACCTTTGCCATGGAATAGCCCAAGCACGGCCCAATTTAGGGTATCCAAGAAACATTTTGCCTTTGGATACAGGCAGGGTGGGTACGCCTGGGATAACAACAGCAAAATCCCACACAGTTGTCCGATGCCACAATTTCTGTCCGTCCGCACGTATATAATCTCCTTTTATTCGTATCCGTATTCGTACGGATAGCTTGAGGGAGTGATCCGTTTATTTGTTTTTTTGTCGCATTACGTTTCTTTTAGTTTATGTTAGTTTTTTTGGTTTGTTTACGTTTTGAATTCGGTTTTGTATATTGCGCGTCGAATTTATTGTAGTGATGGCATTTTGTTTATCGATGGAGGAACCGTGTTATCGGTTATTGTACGACTCACGCGGGCATAGGGTTGGAACCACACACCCAAGGAGAATTCCGATGAGCCAGCCGGCGTTGCCCAAGAGGAAAAGCGTAGTCGTAACAATATGGCGCCCAAAGGATGTTTGAATTTTTAATGCCAAGGAGTAGGTGGAGTTGTTTAGGGCCCTGTACCACTTTTGGGGAGGAGTCTAGGCAGCCGCCGTACGCAGGCTGAGAATTTAGATAGGAAAAAAATAAATGAAGCCGATGGCTGGGTGCGCTTGATCGGTTTGCTAGGGACGGAATCCCGTATAACACCAATTGCAAGCGTGTGTGACGTGGACAGTAAGTCACGAAGGTGCGGATGTAGGCCCTTCGTTTGCGACTGCCATTTGGAACGACGCTGGGCAATGTGTGCTATAGGGGAATTCCAATGCGAGAGTTTCGTGCTTTTCGTTTTTGTTGTATTTCTTGCGTCAATTCGTTGGTGCACTGTCGCTGTGGTGTCATCGTGTTTGCCTGGTGGACGTAGAGTACCGGTGGCCCAGGATGACAAGTAAAGTCGCCTGCGATGCACCGATACGCACGGTGAGCTAGCGCAGATGGTGGGCATAGTGGTCCGGAGTTCCAAGAAGGAAACAGTTTGTGGGTTTTTTTTTGTATTTCTTGCGTCAATTCGCTGGTGCACTGTCGCAGTAGTTTCATCGTGTTTGCCTGGTGGACATAGAGTATCGGTGGCCCAGGATGACAAGTAAAGTCCCCTGCGATGCACCGATACGCACGATGAGCTAGAGCAGATGGTGGACAGAGAGGAATTGATCGTGATGAAACAACCTTTTAATTTGTTGACTGCCTTTCATCGCCGTCAGGGCGATAAATGTAGCAGGCAACGAATAGTGCAGGATTGCTGCAGAAGGCGTAGTAATATTAGGAGCCGTGTTTGGGTTCCGGCTGAGTGTGAGTCTCAGCCCCTATATACAGATGTTTAGAGAAAAATGCTTTTTTTTTGTTTACATTTTAATAAGTTGTTACGTTGCATGAATGGCTACATTTTCTTGGGTTTGAACGTTTTTTGTGTGTGCATTAATTCAACGTTTTTTTTTGCATTTATTGCCGTATTTATTCGCGTAATTATCTATTTATTATCTACGTATAGTTTTGCCCATACAATTTTCCATTTTTGTTGTTGTTATATATATATATATATATATATATATATAACACTATTTTGTGTTTGTTTTTGTTTTGAGGATTTGGTTGTTTATTATATGTATGTATATATTTATCGAATTTTACATTTGATTTCGGAGGTCCCCGGGGTCTGGAAAGGAATTCATAACAAAAAGAAAAAAATAAATAAATATTAGAAAATTAAATAATTGTGGGGACAGTTTGCGGTGGAGCACGATTGTACGGCTACGCATCGAGGTGTCATACACCATCTCTTTAGTCCATCGTCTCCATTGGAGGTACGCGCCATGCACTCGCTTATTCCCACACATGGTCAGGATCTCGTCATCGCATCCTTGCGAAAGCTCAGTGTCCACCTGGTAGCGACCGGCAAGTACATCAATCAAGTTGACGATGCGAGAAGAGAACGCTGAGTCCAAGGAAGATTCGTCTAACACTGGCATCGACATCATAACGCGCACAGGCTAGCCACGACGATTCAGTTTTTGGGACATTTTGGTATATACGTGAATAGAAAGAAGTAAAGAATTGATGGGCGTAGAAAGGAGAACGCAACTGGAGCTACTCACCAGAAGACTAAGAGTAGGTGTGGCCTACGTTGGGCGCCGCAAAGGAGTCACGCAAGACAACGCCGGGCTCGGAACGGAAAACGGGCTAACACCAGCCGTTGGATGCGCGCAAACATCGCTTCGGTGCGCGAGTGTCCGCCCACTTGGGTGTTTGCGGTGGTGTTGCATCGGGCCGGTCGGGGACAAAAGCTCGAATTGGCAGCATCGGATAAGGGCGCTAAACTTTAAATTTCGCATGAGCGCCATCTAGCGGTACCTAGCGAGGAGCCGGGGTGGCAACTGCGGTCGCACAGGCGCAGAGTTGCGGTCCGATGGTACTCGAGAGAGAAGGAAACGAGAGGCTACAAGAAACGGATGAAAAGGGAAAAAGGAGGAAAAAATCCGAGGCACATGGCATCCGGCCTATAAAAGGGGAGTCGTAGCACGAGTTTTTTGGTTGGGAGCCGTCCGGTCAACGACATGGTGGCAAGTTGACCGAGAGGAAAAGGCGTCCGCTAGCGCGCCAAAGAGAGCAGCACCAGCAGCGAAAGTCCACGCCAGTGCCAGCTGCACACCACCATCAACAGCGGTAGCAGCGCACCATTGGCAGCATCAGCACCATCATCAGCGGGTGCCACCCTTAACGACAGCAGCGGCCACTATCAGCAATAGCGCGGCCAGCAGCTCCCCCGGCAGATCCAGCAACAGCGGTAAATCCAGCAGCATGGGAGCAGACAACGGCTGCCAGAAACGGCCGCACCGACAGCACCAGCAACGCCAGTAGCAGCGCTAATGCCAGCAACAACGACGTCAGTCTGCGCCATCAGCAGCGGAGGAAGTTTCAGCGGTGAGTCCGTTCCTTGGCCACGCGCCGGTTACCTTTTTTTTTGAGCTGCAACTGCCAGGCAGTCGTCCTACGCGTCGTTTTATTGGTAGAAGCTGCTACAGCAAAGCAGCAGCCCAACGTGCTCCGCGTACCCGCCTGCCAATAAAAAAAATAAAATAATGCAAACACCCTCCCTAATGTTCATGCACATATACATACATTCGCAATTTATATACACACATAAGATCCAGATTATTTTCATAGACTTCACTGCTTATTAGTATTGGCTGTTGGCAAGCCTTCGTCGTATTGTTTTTTTTTATGTTTTATAATTGCATTTTCGGTCATAATCTTTACACCAAATTCATGTACACAAATAATTGTTAATATTTACGTTTATTCGCATTAAAATGTACTATATATGCATATGTAACCAAGCAATTTAAAATTCTTTTTATGGAAGCATTGTCTATAATGACCCGTTAAAGCAGCATCAGTAGGGGCGGGAGACTCACCTTTGCCATGGAATAGCCCAAGCACGGCCCAATTTAGGGTATCCAAGAAACATTTTGCCTTTGGATACAGGCAGGGTGGGTACGCCTGGGATAACAACAGCAAAATCCCACACAGTTGTCCGATGCCACAATTTCTGTCCGTCCGCACGTATATAATCTCCTTTTATTCGTATCCGTATTCGTACGGATAGCTTGAGGGAGTGATCCGTTTATTTGTTTTTTTGTCGCATTACGTTTCTTTTAGTTTATGTTAGTTTTTTTGGTTTGTTTACGTTTTGAATTCGGTTTTGTATATTGCGCGTCGAATTTATTGTAGTGATGGCATTTTGTTTATCGATGGAGGAACCGTGTTATCGGTTATTGTACGACTCACGCGGGCATAGGGTTGGAACCACACACCCAAGGAGAATTCCGATGAGCCAGCCGGCGTTGCCCAAGAGGAAAAGCGTAGTCGTAACACGTGTTACCTATTTTTTAATAGTTTCTGGCGTTATTTGATTTCACAACGGTCAAAAGATTATTATTCCCGGCAGCTTTTTTGGCGCCTTAACTACTATCGAATAAAATATAAATGTTATCGTTTCTGAGTTGCCACTTTGCTCATTGTCCTACTAATCAGCTGTGCGGGACACGCAGTGGCAACCCTCAAAGATTGTGTATACGAACGCCGCTTTGTTGTTGTGCCGACAGAAGACTATTGTTGGCGGCGGCGGTGTATTTGAAGGTATTTTTATAGCAAGCTATTGTTTACATTTCCAGCCACTCCCGCGCAAAGTGTATTTTCGGTAAAGTAATCTTGAAAGGCTTTTCACAACGCCATGTCCGGCACCATACTTGAGAATCTAAGCGGTCGGAAGCTGTCCATATTGGTGAGCTGCCTTCTCTTGTGCCAAGTAGCCTGCTTTCTTCTGGGCGGTCTACGGGCGCCTGTGCCCGCTGGTCATCAGAACATTTTGGGCGTTGTATGCCGTGATAAGAGAGATCATCAGAACGACACAAATTTTTGGCTGTATTCGCGCGGAGAAGGTCGTTGCGAACCTGTACCGTTAGAGGAGATTGAACAAGATGATCTTAAACTGGCCAACCAGATTGTGCACGTCTTCCAGATGCCGCTGCCGCGAGACAATCGAGTGCTCGACTACTCACGCTGGCAGCAGAACCTTATTGGAGTGCTGCAGGTGGATATTGCATATGGCGCTACTTTAATGGAAGCACCTAAAGAGCTGCAGCTTACTATCGACACTCGTCTGGCTTATCGGAACAAGGGCGATGCCGAAAACGACTGGAAGCTGTACGCACACAGCGTGGAGCAGCGCTACTTGGACTGCCATGCTTCGCATGTCAGCCAATCCGAGACGCTTTACACATGCGATATGATACCGCTGTTCGAATTGGGCGCTCTCCATCACAGCTTCTACTTGCTTAACCTCAGATTTCCGGTTGACACACTCAAGCAGATGAATCTGAACATTGGACACATGCACGACCTGACGCTGACGGCGATACACCAGAATGGCGGCTTCACCAAAGTTTGGCTGCTGCTGAAGACCCTGCTCTTTCCCTTTGTGGTTGGCATAATGATTTGGTTCTGGCGGCGAGTTCATATTCTGCAACGGTCTCCAGCTCTGTTGGAGTATATGCTGATATATTTGGGAGGAGCACTGACTTTCCTTAACCTGCCGCTAGAATATTTATCGTTGGGCATTGAGATGCCTTACATGTTGCTGTTGAGTGATGTACGCCAAGGCATCTTCTATGCCATGCTGCTCTCCTTCTGGCTCGTATTTGCAGGCGAGCATATGTTGATACAGGATGCGCCTAATAAGTCCACCATACGTTCGCGCTACTGGAAGCATCTCTCTGCTGTCGTTGTCGGCTGCGTCTCGCTATTCATATTCGATATTTGCGAACGTGGTGTGCAGCTGCGCAATCCCTTCTACTCGATCTGGACCACACCACTAGGCTCAAAGGTGGCTATGAGCTTTATTGTGCTTGCCGGCGTATCGGCTGCCATTTACTTTCTATTCCTGTGCTTCATGGTCTGGAAGGTGTTCAAGAACATTGGCGACAAACGCACATCATTGCCCTCCATGTCACAGGCTCGTCGGTTGCATTATGAAGGTGAAATAGAAGCCCACCTATTTATTGAACATACTAACGTATACTTTCTTTGCAGGCCTCATCTATCGTTTCAAATTTCTCATGCTAGCCACGTTGCTTTGCGCTGGTCTTACTGTTGCTGGTTTCATAATGGGCCAAGTGGCCGAGGGTCATTGGAAATGGGATGAAGATATTGAAATTCAACTGACTTCGGCCTTTCTCACCGGTGTCTATGGCATGTGGAACATCTATATCTTTGCTCTGCTCATTCTGTATGCCCCCAGCCACAAGCAGTGGCCGTCGATGCATCACAGCGATGAGACCACACAGTCAAATGAGAACATTGTTGCCTCTGCGGCAAGCGAGGAAATTGAATTTAGCAATCTGCCCTCAGACTCGAATCCCAGTGAGATATCATCGCTTACTTCGTTCACGCGCAAAGTGGCGTTCGATTAATGGTGAAGGCTCTGCACGAACAACCCACGATAAAGATAGATGAGCAACCAGCGCGGTGTGTACATTTTCACCAATTTTGCAATTGCGTTAAGATTGATGTGAAATGTAATACATTCGGCAGTTATTTAATGCTCAAATAGCGCGCATTTATTTGGAATTAGCATTTCTTGTCTAGTTTTTGCATTCTAAATAATATTTTTATTCAATATTATCTTAGAAGAGCCAAATATTTATATATTTTATATTTATAGTGCTTCTCATGCTCAAAGTAACGTCAATGTTTTAAGTACTCTAATCAAACCGGTATTTGTATATCTCTTGCCAGTATTATGTATTAGCCCGTAAGATTTTATAACTTAGCATTTTAAAGTGACAAATTTTTACAAATCTTGCTCGTTTTTGTAAACTAAAACTAGAGCGATTTCTCATTCAAGTAGTGATGCAACGAATAAAGGAAAGCAATATTCTATTTATGCCGACTTTTAGTATATTGAAACATCCAAAAACAAACAAATTACTATTGTTGTTGCTGTTTGAAGAACGATAGTATTTCTTAAATTTTATTACTAAATTGGAATTACTGAACCTGGAAAGAATTACGATACTCTTGCTTTGGTACCGGCATGAAAGTAAATCATATTCTTTCTATTAAAACTTAGATTACTGCATAATCTAACAACATATAAGGACTAGTCAAGTAAATGCTTAAGGGGATAAGATATTGCGCTTCACCATATTATACGCTGTGGCGTGCTATAATTTTTCCAGTAAAACTCTTTCGTGAAGTAAACATAAAACGTAACGACATTAAGAAGCAAATGCGCACCCAGCTCCAGCCATTCCGCATAGCCCTTCCGTGCCGGTTTTGTGTGTAATCGGAATAGCACATAGGGCACCAGGAAGTAACGCAACTCCAGCAAACGCTGGAAGCACAGCACCAGTAGCAGAGCCACCACGAACATAAACTTAAAGCTGTCGCGCATGTGCCGCAGACCGCAGTATATAAGTGCCAACGCATACAAATAGAGAGGTACCATGACATATCGGAACCACCAGTATCGGCTGTACAGACGACTCCAAACATAGAAGGTGTAGTGACGATTATCGGCCAACAGATACGGATGCACAACTGTGTTCAAGTGCACAATCACCGCAATGGTGCAACACGCAACGAAAGTAAGGGGCAGGTGGCGCCGCAACAATTCCCCAGCTGGACGCAGTTGGCGCAGTGTATTGGAGATGCTGAAGCCAGCCGCGAATACGGCAAAATAGAAGAGCTGTGGCAAATGCAGTGAAGCCTCGTGCGCGCTCTTATCGCCGACAACAATAGAGCCATTGATACATATGAAACCAATGAAAGGCAATATAATGGAAGCATAGAAGCAACATTTTGCGAATATCTTCAGTATGCAGTTGCACAACAGCTGCGGACTACTGAGCAACTGAAGCCACATCTATTAAAAAGAACATATTAGTTCAAATATCCAATTTACATTACAAAATGCTCACCAACCTGAGAGTTTAGCAGAGACACCTGGTCGGCACGCAAATGTCGCTCCTTGGCACACTGCTGCACGATTGTATCCAGCACTGTGATGCCGCAACACATGCACACCCACACAATATTCGTTTGGCGCATCAGCACGCTAGCCGCACCAAATACCGCGGCAGGCAAATGGGCCTCCTGCTGCCAGTAGTTATAGAACAGCAGCACCATGGTGAGTGCCAAGGTGTCTGTGTAGTAGAGATGGCTAAAGAAATACAGTGGCGGCAGTACCGATAATGTGATGGCCTCATGAGCGGCAAAGGAATTGCCACCGGTGCCGGCCAACGTGCGACGTCGAATTTTGTAGAGCAGCAGAATGTTAATGCCCGCCCCGATAAGACTCAGCAGACGGAGGCCCGTCACCGTACAGTAATCGAAGGGGTTCAGCACTAGTGCGATGAGGTACAGACCTGGAAAGGTGGTGATTTTGGTGTCCCACTTCACAAAATGCTCGATTTAATATCACTTTGTATCCTGCCACACACTTGTTCCAACTTACCACATCAAATTGCTTGCGGCAAAATGCCAGACCTTGAGGAATATGAAATTCCTCGTCTATTACATACTCCGAAGTGCCATTTACGCGCAAAAACAACGGCAACGAATACAAAACAAAGCCAAAGGGCAGAGCTAGTTTCCAAGATCCGTGCATCTTAAATATACATTAACTATTTGTTTTCATTCGGGGATGCCGGTACCGGCTCCTGGTTAAAAGAGCAATATCCGCAAATGCAGACAGGCCGTGCAATTATCGCGAGCGCTTTGGACGCTGCTCCTTTATCCTGCTCAGCTTTGCATCCAAAATGAAGGAGAACCAAAGTTAAAAAACTCAATTATTTTTATTTTTGGAGCTCAATTGTTATTTAGGTACATGAACAAGACAGCTCATATGAACACACGAACTAGTACCGATATCTCATTAAGAGAATATCGACAATTCGAACCTAAAGCCCGCTAATTCACAATGATTTAAAATGCACATCCTTATTAAGGACAGCTCATCAAAGTCGGTTTTCCGTCATTGAAATTCTAAATTCATGCATACATATTTAAAATATTTTAATTTCAAATTTATTATTTGCGATGAAACGCGGCCATTCTAACCTACAATTAAAGCAATTGTAGTTAGAAGCAGTTCTGAATGCCACATCAACCAATTGAATTAGACGCATTGTATTAATTCGGAGACCATAAGTATTGGAGTGTATAAACACTCATACTTATATATTTTATGCTCTGTGTTTGTGTTTGCTTATCAGATCTTATCCAAGAACACAAATCTACATTGAAGCATTAATATTCAGATTTGCTTTATTAGAAAATGTAAAACGAAATGCAAATACGTTATTTTTTAAGTTTTATAAATTTCGATGCAAATTCGTAAACCCCTACTGAGTTGTTATTCTTTTGATCGTACTCGACCCAATCATCTTCGGATAAGTCCACGTCCTGGAACGTTTGACCATTCTCTGAGCTATGCACAATCCAGCCGGTGCGTGGAGAAAACTCCACTGGTTCAACACCACGGCAATCAAAAATGACAATGGTTTTGAAACTGCCGGCATCGTCCACAGTATAGGCCACTAAAATATAAGACAGTTGAGAAAAGTGTGATTAACCCCCTTGCGTCCACTTACCATTTGACTTATCCACAATATCTATGCTGTTCTCACGTCCACACATCTTGCATTTCATATAAAAGTTAAATCCAGCAGCATTGCGGGTGTCCTGCTGCACACGTTCCGATTCCGTAATATCGTGCCATTTATCCGATTTCTCGCCACAGTTCGTGCAAATTATTTTTACGAAGAAGGCATATTCGGGATGTGACGTCTCGAGTTTCTCAATGTTCTCCAACGTGGCTGAAATTTGCAAGCCCACACGCATTTTCCTGTGTGTTATTATAATGGCTAACTTTTGTATATTTGCAACTCGTCATTAACAGCTGTTTTTAACGTTGCCACTTGGAACTCCAATACGCCATTTTTATTATACAAGTTGGCAGCACGATTCGTCTTTGTGAAGAGCTCGTAAATAAACAAAACTATTTCGTTGCAAATTTTCATAAATACACGGCTTCAAAACGGATACAAACACAACAATGAAGGATGTGAACCTGAAGCCATCACTGGCTGTCGATGAAATGTTTCCGGAAGGAGCGGGCTATATGGATATGGAAGAGGTGAGTTGCTGTTATTCCTGTATGCCAGCCGCAGCATACATAGCCACATATTTACATTTGTATGTATGTATGTACATGCATATGTGCATAAATATTTATTCCATTTGGGATAACATAAGCTTTTTGTAGTCCGGTAGTGCCACAGGCATGATGATGGATCTTCCCACCAATGAGAAACATGTCCATGCCGATTTCTACAATGATTTTGATGATTTATTCGATGAGGACAACTGGACAAAGATCGCCTCCGATAACGATAGCGCCAAAAAGTAAATCCTGTAGCAATTACAATATGTATAATTCTTTTGGAAGTAACTAATGAAAAGAGTCTTGTACTTGTATTAAGCTCTTAAAAATTACTCGGCAGTTTTTTATTCTTGGAGCTACGGAAAGCTATAGAGCTGTTTAAACGATATCAAAGTAGGCAATGTTTTTTCTTTTGTTATATCGTGTACCCGTAAAAAGGCGCAAAGTACATACATACATATGTATGTCCATATGTATGTAACAGGCAGAGGGAATTAGCATGACGATGCAAATGGAACCGCCCGCCTGTCCGTACATCAGGATGAACGCCTGGATGTCGGAAAATGTTGAGGCTACATTAACCAAATTCGGTATGTAGACCAATCTCTATTCTTATTTTTTGATTTGTATAAGAAAAATATAGACTGCAAACAAATTACCATATACATCAAACAAAGAGCTCAATGCAATTCCCTTTTGTTAATCGTATTTCAAAAAAAAATTAGACGGAATTTGCTCGTGGTTCATTGCAAATTAGAAACATACGTGTAGCTATGTATATTTTTTAATAACAAAGGCAAATTTCTATAACTGGTATAACTGAATGCAACCTTTTCAAGAACATAAGTTTTATATATGCATGTTTAATTACTTGACATTACCTCTACTCTATTTTTGGCATTTAGTCTATCAAGAAATGACTACAAATGGTAGCTCATCTGTTTCAATAATCACGAATGGATATTACCTGATATCATGCCATACTTATTTATAGTAAATGATACTCACTTATTTTTGGAAAGGAAACACACATTTCAACAAATAAAGAAGTGGTTTTAAGGGAAGTTTTTAAAGTTTTACTTTATTCGGCGTAATAATTACATAAGTGTTTCTTTTTAAAATACACACACAAGATTTAACAAACATTACAACTTATGACTAATAAAAATCCAGGCTTGAGCCAGGCAGAGCTGTAGTTTTCATGAAAAGACTATTGACAGCCCAGCGAGACGCTAAGAACAAATTATATATATATATATGGATACTATATCTATATATTTAATTAAAAATGTAGTGCATATGGAAATTGTTGGTAGGCGAAGATGTAGATTTTTGATAAAGTACTTTTTTTTTGTCAGTGGTTCATAATAAAAAGTCCACTCTTCGCTGTCGTTGCTACTTATTCACGCTCCGATAGATCATCGGGGCCGAGCGATCGTTGGTTTTGGTGTGACGCAACTTCACTGTTGCAAATTGTGAGGCGCTGCAAGAAGTAGGAAGTTTTACTAGTAGAAGAAGAGTGCGGGAATTAAACTTACAATTTGGAGAGCCACAATAGGGAGCGTTTACAATATACATACATATATATATATATATACATACATGTGTTTTATTTGTACACTTTAAAGCAACGTACATACATACATGCATATATAAGCGCAACTTATTACGTACATATGTATTTACTTGTACATACATACATATATGCTTATAAAGCTAATATAGTATATTGTTGTTGTTGGTGTATTTGGGAGGGTTTTACTTTATTATACAGGGTTGCTTTTGAGGCTTGTCTTCAGAAATCTATTGAAGTATTTCGGTAGGTACCACGCTTGCTAAAAGTATAATACATAATATTTATAGTACTTTAACGTGTATCATCAAAAAAAGTGCGACTAATTCGTTTTAAGGATGTATGAAATATGATGTAACAATAGTGGAAGCGTATATCAAAGGTACGAAACAAACATACATACATAGGTACGGTATGTGCGTTTTTATGCACCAAATGAGAGAAACTCTAAGTACCAGAACTGTACGATCATTTAACATTCATTTTTAAAGTGTACAGTTTCATAATTGTTAATCAATTTAGTCACAAAATATATTAAATCTTCCGAACACAATTGTTAGCAGCATGCTGCGAACGGAAACTGAAAAATGTTGTCAGCACATCCATACTAAGTACACCTAATTCTGTTTTTACACGGTAGATTGGTTCCAGAAACAACCGTGTAAAAAAAAGACATTGATTTAATTTTCAAACCGTTTTATATCCAAATCGTGTAAAAAATACCGTTTAAAAACAGAATTAGGTGTATATGCATGTGAATCCGATAAATAAAGTTGCTAATAAAAGCATAATCAACATGCTTGTTGAAAAATGAATTTCCCTTTTCTAAAGGAAATTTGTCGTCTGTATGGGAAATTAAAACTGATAATATTCGCATCTGGGTAGAAAATATTTAATTATAATAAAAAGGTTTGCAAAATATAGTATGTATTTTCTTTTTCTCACACGACTACAATTTATTCCTCAATACTCTTTCTTGAGCCTGCCTGTACCTACATACATATGTAGACTTAGTAAACATTTCCCTGTTTGTTGCGCCCGATACCGCAGCGACGCTCAGCGCATTTTCTTCTCCAGTAAGAAAACGGTGAAACTCAACCCCTATCCCCCAACGCACCTCACTTCAATTTCGCACTAGTTGCTTTCTGGCCGGCGATGCCGTGGTGGTGCTGATCCTGCTGATCCCAGAAATCGTACCACGGCCCATAGCTCTTGTTGTTGTTCGCATGCGTCTTGGAGTTGCGCTCCAGCGTGGTGCTGCTGGTCTTGAGCAGGCGGGTGCGGGGCAATATGGTGGCAGTGGGTGCTGTGGAGTTTGAGGTGGAGTTGCGAGTCAATGTGCTGCTGCTGTGGCTATCCTGCTGCTCCTTGGCCAGCTGCTTGCCACCGCCATTGCGCAGCTTTTCGCCCGACTTCTTCAGCGTACTGGTGGACTGGGATGCCGTGGTGGAGAGCGTGGACGAACGAAAGGTCTGGAACTCCATCTGTTGCTGCTGTTGCAGTTGCTGGTGGTGCTGGCGACGCAGCTTGTCGTCCTTGCGGACGAGATGATCGTTGATGACAATGCAGTCGTAGGGATCAGAGCTGGTCGACTTCAATTCTGCGTCGGACTCGTCCTCACTGGTGTAGTACTGCTTAAGTATGTCCTTGCGCTTCACTGTCTTCATAATTAGGCCGTGTCCGCCTCCCCCACCACCTACGCCTACGTCGTTCTGCATGTCATCGAAGAAGTTGTTCACATCGCTTAGCTTCAGTGTGCCGTGTTCGTCGCTCTCCCCCTCATCTGTGGAGTGTGGAAACTGCTGTGGTGCCTGCTTGGCACGTGTCAGCGTCTGTGATTTGGGCTGAGGCGTGGACGAGGACTGTTTCTCCAGCTTGCGAAGGGTGTCCGAACGCCCATATTCCTGTTGCTGATACTGCTGATGTGGCTGCTGGTTCTGGTGCTGTAACTGTCCACGCTTTATTGTGCTCATACGCTCGCTCTCCGTCGGCTCCTCAATGTCAATCTCGATGGTCTTCATGATCTTCATGCGCGATTTGGGCGTGTAGTTGTGGTTGCTGCTTCGCTCACGCACCACCGGAGTCACGCCATAGATGTTCTCATCGTCATCGCCAAAGTTTTCGGTGCTTGTAATGCTGTCCTTGCGTCGCTTCTCTTGCGACGAGTTCGAATTGTGTGACTTGGTCAGTGTGCCGTTCTTGTCATTGTTCAGCTCATCGGAGCGACGTTCCAGCTGGGAGCCACGTCTGTATTCGTCGTCACGCAACTCCTCCAGATTGGGAGCCGCCACTAAGTCACGATGCTGCCACAACGACATGCCCGCAAGAATGTCTTCACTGCGACCGCCACCAAACTTCCAGAAGGATTTGGTGCGCTTCAGTCCCGCACTGGATGCCTGCAAGATCTCATCATCGGATGCAATCAGATCATAACGCATTTTGCCGCCGCTCTGTCGGCTCAACCGATGCAGGCTCTTGTCATCGATTTGACTGTCCACGCTGTTGCGGAAGTTACGGCTTAGTGTCCAGGAGGCCACGTCCCTAGGCACTGTGTGTGTGTTTGTGTCGGCGCGTCGACTTTTTAGCATAATATTTGATCGGATATTTTGGTTCGATAGCAATACATTCAGAGATTGCGGTGGTTGTTGAGGTTGAGGTTGTAATGTTGGTTGAGTGGTTGATGTGATTGTGGTTGTGTGTATGTTTTGGGCGTGTTGGGCACATTAACACAAAGGATGTGTCGATGATGAGTAGCAACAAAGAAATGATGATACATGAAATCAAAAAGAAACAAAATAGCACGGAAACATAAATAAAAAACAACATTAATAATCAGGCATTTGGCATTAAGTGGCGTGCAAGTGTGCTTGGCCAGAGACTGGCGGGGATTAGTGACAGCAAGGCAAAGCATCCTTTTTGGATTATGCAGAGTTATTTCTAGCATTGAGCTTAGCTGCATTTGTCGAGCAAAGAAATCAGTGCGAATTTGTAATGTGTAATTCCCGTTATATACTCTCAAGCTTATTTTCGAAATTTTGGAATCGCTCGATGTTAAAATTCAATCAGATTTTTATAGATGAAAGGCAATATGTTAATCTTCATATAAGTATGTACATATGTATATACTCTTATGTTACGATTACGAACATTTTTGGAGTTCACACCCGGTGTTTAACAGTTTAAAAATGGTATATATATTATATAGTATATATGTATTTTCAAGAAGAAAATAGAAGGATGAAACCAAATTTCTTGGACCCTAATCTTTGTTAATAATTTTTTGATTTGTTTAAATAGTGTTTGTTAAACGTGTGCCCATCAACAAATATTATTCAATACAAAGATATTTGAATAGTTTTGCAGGAATTATATAGGATTATGTACAAAGCTCTAATTTCATGCTCAAATTCCTGGAGTTGAAGAATAATGAAGTTAATAATTTTCTTTCAATAAGACAACGATTTCTTCATTAGGCTTCATAATATTTTCCTCTTTTTCTCATTTAATTATAAAGAATTTATTAGTTTATGGTTTCTCTTTCGTATTTGGAAATGGGATCGGGGTCTGTTGAATCGCAAGATTTTTTCTTTTGCTCAACTAGCTGCTGGAGAAATAACGGAAACGACAACAAACTAGGGAGCTTATGATACCTACCGTATGGGCACCCGTTGTGATGGTTCCTCGTCGGAGTAGTCCACCTCTGGCTGTGGTGGCGGTTCGTTGGCGAAGCCGCTGTCGTTGCTGCTGTGCAGCGATGTTTTAGCCGCTGCTGCGGACTTTCCAGATGGATTATTCAGATGATTCATAGAATTCTACAATATTAAAGTGAAGTGCAATATCAGTAGAGTTTATGTCCAATACGACATCGTAGGTTTATCGAGCAGACCTGTGCACCACTCAGTAGCTTCTGCTTGCGTCGCTCCACAGCCGCTGTAACTCCGTTCGTGGCACAGAAGCTCTGGGAGGCGTTTAGCATGCGCGAGCTCGGAGCGTTCGGAACTGGCGCTGGCAGCGTAGGCGGTGGTCCGGGCCGTGGATTGGCGCCCGACGAAGGGCGGTACTTCTTTTGCTGCTTGATGGTGTCGCCGAACATGCGTGTGGGCGATGACTCCTCGGCGCTGTGATTGCGTCGCCGATATGTGGAATCGCTCTCCAGCTCCAGCTGTGCCTCGGACAAGTACTGATCGTGATGGTAACTACGCAGAGCACCCGCCCCGTTGCGCTCGTAGTGCAAGTTCTCGTAGCGTTCGTGCTGCAGCAATTTCTTGCCCCCACTAACGCCTTCAGTGGTCTCCGCATTGGTGTAGGCCACTGGGAACCAGCCAAAGTGCTGGGTGCGCAGATTCTCACCGAATTGCCAGCCCTTGGCCTTGCCACCGACAAGCGCTATGCGATCGCCCTCCTCGAACGACAATTGGTTCTCACCCGAGGGCATGTAAGCGTAAAGGGCCTTGACCAGCGGACGCTGATCGCCGCCCCATTGATTGCCGCCTCCGTTGGCGCCAATTTGATCGTTGTGCTGCTCCTCGATGCTGTGGTTGCCATGCTTGTTGCCTAACGAGACACATAATTGCATAATTACTCGTAGTCGTTCTATAAAGCACCCAATTTCCTATAGTTTCGCAACTCACCTGCAGACGGGCCTGTGCCCACTAGGGCTAGATTGAAGTCGGACTTGGCGCGTGGCAGCGAATTCTGGGCATAGTGCGCCATAGCGCCCCCGCCGATCTCACGTTCGTGCAGCGTTCTCATATCGCCGTAGGGTGCGTCGATGCTGCGCGACTTCTTCAGCTGAGCTCCGTGACTCTGATCTTCCGTGTCTTTGATGCGCTCCTGGGTTGGTAAACAAAGTTGTTAGCGCCCAATTGATTTGATGGCGATGACTATAGCGATGACTCACCAGACGTCTGGACATGCCAATGCCGTTGCTTATGCTGTTGTTGTTGTTGGCGTTGTTGTTGATATTGCTGTTGTTGTTGCTGCTGTTGCTGTTGTTGCTGTTGCCGTTGTGGCTGAAACCGCTCTCATACGCGGCCGTTGGAATGATCTCACGTGATGCGGCAATTTCTTGCCAATTTTCTAAATTATTATCAATTACTGTTTTCCCGGTGGTATGATAGGCCATCCAGTGCTTGGCGATTGAGCATTGACGCTCCAAGACGAACCCGTACCGCCTGCGCTCCTGTGTCATGGCCTGTAGCGGAAGTTTTGCATCATATCTCTGGGCAGGGCAAACAAAAGACTTACGAAAGAACACACAACGCACTTACATTCTTGTAGCTCTGATCGCTAAAGACATCCAGTTTCTTCTTCTGGTCCTCCAGCACTTGCAGACTCTGAAATGTTCACACATTTAATTGCAGTGTAGTTGTAAGACCATTGGACGCCATTTCTGTTGTTCTTACCCTCAGCTCCTTCTCTGTATTCTCGGGCGTCGCCTTTTTCTTGCGCTGCTTCTTCATTGTGGAGACGGCCTTCTGATAGCTCTCCATTCGCACCTTGTGCTGCTGCATAAATTTCTTTTGTTCATGCTGCACCACTTTTGTGTCCTTCTCCAAATTCGTCTCCAATGGCACGAGTAAATCAACATAAAAGGCTTTGAGCTAAACAGAATTGTACAGAGACAGAACTTATTATTATCACTGAAGAAAGAGTGTATGAAAAGTTCACAAAAATGTCATGTCTTACAAATCCTATCTGCCTGCTATGTGGGTTGCATATGGGAACTATTTAGATTAGGCTGTGTTACCATAATCTTCAACACTTTACGACCTCGAGGTTGCTATCTTCAATGCTAATACTAATATTCTTCCACTGACAATGCTAATTCAAACATCAAATAAACGTAATTACTCTTTACACTTGTTGTTGTTGTTCACCATTACTTGTATAGTGCTCCAATATAATGCCCTAGATACTAACTATTTATTTATTATATTTATTTATTGTTATACATATTTAACTTACAATGTTCATTTGTTGTTCTTGTATCTCTTTGTTGACATTCACAACGCTCATCAAAGCTGAACCTATGCATGAAGAATAAGTGAAAATAAAAGTCATTGGTAAGTGGTTAAAATATGCGCGAATATGGCCGAAATGTGTCTTACCAATATCGCCCGTTCCGCTCTGCTGGGCGTTCATTGCAATCTTGGCCAATGCTTCATTGAATAGACGCGAAGCGGTTGCGGCACCTGTTTGTGTTGCACGAAATGCCAAGGAATGCCACGAAATGCATTTCAGATTAGTTAACCGTTAACAGTTGCATATTTAGCAATTATTGTGGAATTATGCGATACACACACACACACACGTATATATGTATATACGACTACTTACCATGCAACGCCTTCAGGTAGCTTTTGCCCGCGGCGATCAATTGCCTGGCACCCGGATTGAATTTGTCGAGTATATTCTGCAATTGAATAGAGTGTCGAGTGTAGAGGGTTATTGTTTAGTGAAACACATTAAAAAATTATATGCATGCATAAATATGTGCGAGTATGTTGTTGGCTGTCGGCATTCCCAGCGCCATTAGGCCAATACGTGTGTTAGTGTCCACATATTTTAATTTCATTAGAGTGCTTTCAAATCTTCGCCGAGTCTTAGTCTCTCCCATAATGGTTTTTCATGATTGCTGCGGGTAGTAAAAGTCTCTGTCGTTGTATAACTTAGAGACATTGTTGGCATCATTAGTTCCGTGTAAGTCGTGGCAGCTAAGTACGAGTAGTCGTAATGCTAATTGCATTTGCACATGTTTTTACATACATACTTGTATGTACTATCTCCTATTTGTGATTTAATAGTGAATGGTAGCAAATAGGTGTCTGCGGAACATCTGAATAAAAAACGAGTACGCTCTGGGAAGTTCGGGCATAGGGCATAAAAACATCAAACGACTTTATTGCAATTCCTTTCGCTTCAGTTGGGTGACAAATTGGACAAAATTAAGTAGCTGACAATTATTTTAAGTAAACATTTATGTCCGCCTCCACTGACCACTTTCAAAATAAATCATACGAAATCAAGTGTACTAGACTTGCTTGATTGATTATAATGAAGAGATATATTCCTATATTCTTATGATAACTAGATCATATTTGAGACCCTGGTATATTGATTTTGAACATGCAAATTATTATTTGGATACTTCTTCATCTTTAGGAATGTATTGAGAAACTTGGCTTGGATTTTTTTTTTGTATAATATTAATTTATTAAAATATTTAGGAACGTACATTTATGGGTTTCTAGACTAGCTAGGAATTAGGAAAGCTCCTAAAAATGTATGAAAATGAAAATATATTATATATAAACAATTTATTTTGCTTTTCAGCTTTTATATGTTCTGTTTGATTTTCATTTTAAAATATCTAAATAGGGTTTCTGGCCTAGTTAGATAAGTAATACTTACTTTCAATTATATTTTAGTATTCCCCAAAAGTTGCTAATGCAAATCAGAGAAGAAATAATTTTCGTCTTTGGTTACTAATTCTTAATGCTTATGTATCGGTGAACAATTGTTTTGAACTAATTCGAACTTATTCAGCTTATCTTTCTATACAATTAAATGGCAGTCATTTGTTTTTGGTTTTGTCTTTCAATTTCGTACAATCAGTTGAATAAACACGTTTTGTCTTCCAATTTCGGACTGCGAATTGTGGTTGCAGTTTTCGTTAGCAGAGCCAAGTTATAGAATTCGTATTAACTGATGATTGTTGTTTACGAGTGTATAATTTCAATTCTAATTTTAGAATTTTCTATTCGTAAATTCTAATTAAAATTCTTTACCTGTGTGAACATACAGTTTGACTTAATCGCACATCATTGAAGGCATGACAAACGGTTTTTATAAACAAATTACTCCATCGAGAAGCCTTTTATTGGAAAATCGTTTGATGAATTTAAATGCGAATGACTCGATGCCAGCAATTACATAATTAATAAGCACTTACACTGACAATTCATTAACAACTTTACAAGTGTATCTGTGGTGTGAATGCATTTGAATACAATACGAGTAAGCAATTCACTTGTTGGATGACGTGATTGCCAGCACTTCACATTCGGTGGGGGTGGGGGTGCTGGTGTGGTGTGGGGGGAGGTTCAGGTTCAGACAACGAAAGCCAAATGAAGTGACATCATGTCGAGTGGCATGAACGTGTGCCTGCATAAAACTAAGCACAAGTGGCAGCCATTAACAGCGAGCACAACAAAAAGCATATTGGGGTCGGCTCTTGTTGATCCTGGGCTTGGCCAAGTGCGTGGTCATAAAAGCGAAAGAAAAAATTTGTAGAAAAAACAATACCATGCACTGAGCATAGTATGGCACGCAAGGCGTGAATTGCTCAACAATTATTGGAGCTCACAAAGCAATTTATTGTTTTGAAAATGTGTACGAAAAAGTTCAGCGGCCAGCTGCTGGTGGCCAAGTCTTTAGAAACTCATTAGAAGTCTCAGTGGGGATTTGTAGACAAGAGACTGCGCTTTGTTTACCTTTAAGCATTATTAATTGATTATTCGTTAGCAGATTATGCCAGAACATTCCTCTCCTCTTAATCATTTCCGCATGAGCCAGCCTCATAGAAGTTCAGCTCTCATGCCACGACCAACGGCAGCAAACAATTAGCAACGAACTGTCAAAATCAAATAACAAAAACAATATTTTGTTTTTGTTGTCAATAATAAACAAAGCAATTTGTTGTGTAATTTTTTTGTTTCTTTCGGTACGAGTCTCAGGCCTAAGTAATGATACATTTGACCAAAGTAAATATGGCCAAATATTTAAGTGTTTGTCTTAACGCTGAATTTCAATGTTTGTTAAAGCGAATTTATTGGCTACACTTGCTAGAGTCGAGGCGTGGGAATCGAATGGGGCAAGGTCGCATGCTCATGCTCATTTTATTGGCTATAGAAATTTAAATTAAGCGCCTGCTTTTATGATTTATATTGTCGTTTTGTTTTTATCGAATTACGAGTACGTGCCTAGCATGCATGCATTTAACTTTAAGATACACATGCGGGCCAGCCTGTGAGTATTTAATTGCTGCCACATTTGATTGTCTAACTAATCAGAGTGGTTCAGTGTCGCCTCAGGCGGCTTGTGTTGTTTGTTCTGCTGCAGCATGACCTCAGCGCATTTGATATATACTTGTATGTACATATATAGTTGTATTTATGTAAACACACACAGACAGTTGGCTTGACTGAGACACTCGAGGCAAGACCTTCTTACATTCAGCACTTCATCTATTGGTTTATCAATGTTAATTGCTTTAATCTTTTTTTTCATTCGGATTTCGTTTCTGTGGTCTAGCGTTCAAGTGTCATTACAGTAGCGGCACAGTACTTTTAAATACTTTGCGGCTTTTTCTGAGAGCTTTTTTATAGTTTTTAGTCTCGAAAGACCGCTACATCTTAAAATTGGACAGAAACCGTAATTGTCTGTGATTTGAATTGCAATCTCGTCGATACCCTTGACAAACAAACCGTGACATTTGCATAAAGACATCAATAGTATCAAAGTCAAATTGGGTTTGACAGCAAAAAACTATGCTGGCAATAAATGGTAATAAAATAATTATATACAAATATTTTAATTTCATTAAATTAACTTGTTATTGAATTTAATATATAGTATGTATTATCTCGTAAGAATGTTATTGTGCTTATTCAATATTCAAACCAATATCAATTTGATAGATAATTTATGTGAAACCCACTTTAATGATTTTTTATAAAAAACATTTTTTAACTATTTGTTTCAAGCGGGATTGACTCACGTTAGAGATTCTAGATGTTTCTATATAAATGAGAAATATTGCATTACTTTTTAATTGAATGGATTGTTATTTGTAATTTAAATATTGATTTTATTTTTCAATTTATTTTTATTTTTCCAACAAATGAATTCAAAAAAAAAAACATCTAATCTAAAAAAAGGACATGTTGTCGAGATCTGTCCCAAACATATGAATTGATTCGAATCCAAAGAATGTTAAAAACTCCTAAATCCTTCAAAAATAATTTGAATCTATTTCGTTTTGTGAGTTATGAAAACTTTGTCACTAGTTATATATCAAAATCCTTCTGCCCTTGTTAGTTAATCTAACTGTTAGCTGTTATCATTTGAAAGCAATTGAGCTTCTTATCAACTAACAACAAGTTTAATATGACTATGAAAAGCCGAACCTTAAAATTTAACTTATAGCATACTTTCAAAAGGTACCATAAAATCTGTCCAAGTCGATGGCTTGTCAATTGAACTTTGGGCGCAGCTGGGGGGTCACAATAACAACAACTATATAGTAGTTATAATGCATAATAAATGCACAATTGTCTGACTGTGCAGATGAATAACTTTAGATAGTTTGTCACCCAGCTGGATTTATGGCACATTCTATAAACATAAATCCAAGTTGAGGGGGCACTACTGACCACACAGGCTCGAGACGCTTGACTGTGATTGCTGGCGGGGAGTGGTGGCTGAGTGGGTTGTCTACATGACTGGGACAGCAATGGCGCTGGCGATGGGGATGGCGATGGCGATGGCGATAGCGAAGCCACTCAAAGGCAATGCAAGCGCAGCGTGTGATTTTGTGGGGCACATGTGGCACAGAAGTGGGACGCGGACGCTGGCAATGATGAAGACAAAGGCGAATACGAAGATGGGGAACATGCAGGTGGCATGCAAATAAAAACGAAGGTGGCCAAGTGCTGAAACCACAAGCAATGTGAAGACGAAGACGATGATGATGATGATGACGTTGACGATGTGGTGCTGCCTAATGCCCAACAATTGCCAGCCGGGGCAGTTGTAAGGCTGCAGCTGCATTAGAGGCCCACGGAACGATGTCACTTGTTCGCACAGCCTGCTCCACAGCCGGCAAATGGAACTGGGTCAACGGCCTGGCTGGGCAACTGACTGGACGGGAAGCCCTACGAGCGAGCTACCCATGCTCCAGTACTTAGGCAGTGGACTCGTTTGCTCAGCGCCTGCAAAAGTCACGCAATGGCAAGCATGAGCATTTAACATTTTTCACGCACTCTTCACGCCAACAAAAGACGAATTCGACGACGTTGAGTGGAGATTGGAGGGCGGAGAGCAGAGGGAGAGAGCGACTAACGTCGCGCCTTAACGCCTCCGTTAAAGTTTTGTCACCAGTTGACTCTTGCGTGTTGTTGTTGTTGTTGTTGTTGTTGTTGTTGTTGTTAGTTTTAGTGTTGCTGTACCTGTTGCGTGTTTACCGCCTACTTTTATTTGCAGTTTTTGTTTTCTAATTGGCATAATTGCGGTCTGTGGTCGTTGTTGCTGTTGTTGTTGTTATTATTATTGCTGTGTTGCTGGTGCCTTGCATTCTCGAGCGTTTCGCATGCTTCAGTCGAAGTGGGTGTGTCCGTTGGCGTCGTTAAATTATTGCCTGGCAAGGCTTTGCTGCCCGCTGCCCTCTCTCACAGTCTTTCTTTACCTCCCCCCTCCCCTCCCCCCTCTCTCTCACTCTCTCTCTCTCTGGCATGTCTTCTCTTGAATATTTTTGTTTCGTGCCTGGTTGGGCCACAAAGCAAAATGCTGCTGGCAACATTCGCTTTGCATTGCGACTTTTTAATTAAAAAATTACATACATACGAAATAGTATGCGCACAAACTCACATACACATGTGCACATACTATATGTACATACTGTACATGCAAGCATGCACTCACTCGTTGGCGATTTATGTTAAGCAGCGATTAGAGGCAACGCGGCTCAATTCATTTTGGGTCAAAATGTTTTGCAGCAGCAAGCGATCCAAGTGTTGCGATAAGTGTTGCATCTAAGCGGCTTTTATAATTGCCAGCACAATATTTTGTTGTAAATACCTGCATGAGAGTGTGTTTTTTTGGGTTGGCCTTTTGACTATCAATAATTGTGTGAGAAGCTAAGGAATTTAAATGCAATAGCTGGGATATGAGAATCAGTTTACTAATTTTTATACCCTGTACCCAAAGGGTACAAGGGTATATTAGTTTTGTGCGAGTGCACATGGAACACACAGAAGGAGGCTTGGTAGACCCCACAAAGTATATATATTCTTGATCAGCATGACAAGCCGAGTCGATATAGCCATGTCCGTCTGTCCGTCTGTCTGTCCGTCTGTCTGTCTGTCTGTATGAACGCAAGGATCTCCGAAAGTATAAGAGCTAGAATAACCAAACTTGGTATACAGATTCTCCTGAGACCGAGAAAGGACGAGTTTGTTAATTTTTTCTGATCCACCCCCCCACTCCCCCCCTATTACCGATTTTCTATAACTCAAGTAATTCTTGGAATTTTCAACTCAAATTTGGTAGTCACATTAGGTTAGTTATTATATAACCGTATACCAAGTCTCAATATGATAGAATGATCGGAAAGAAAGTTATAGCCATATAACCAGGCCCAATGCACACATACATACATATGTACAAGTACACAAACACGCATAAGGCACGATTCTGATGTAAATGTAAATGTATGTATGCATGCATGGAATATTTTATATTTAATTTAGTTAATTAATTAAATCAATTTAGTTAATTAATTAAATTAATTTAGTTAATTAATTAAATTTAATTAATTAATTAATTTAATTACTTTTTTGTGGGGTGGTACAGGGTATTTAAGAGTTGAGCCTGCTCGACTTTAGCATTCCTTTCTTGTTTGTTGTCTAATGTTTAAAGGACAGAGAGTAAAAGAAAAGGAACTGTCTCATAGAAAGCTTAGAGTAATTTCCAAAAGTCATACAGTTCAAATAATTTAATTTGGTTTTATTAATTATTGGCAGTTTTATTTTCTTTAAACGGCTAAATTAATTCAAACAATATGAGTATAATGCAGTTAATAAATAATCAATAAAAAGCAATAATTGAATTGAGTAACAACTAGTCTGAAAGGAAAGCCTAAATTCCTAAATTTGTGTGTCCCTCTTGATATATATTTGAATGAACGATACTCTGGCCCATTTAAATCTGCTGTCTGTCCATTTAATGCCAACCAAGCTACAACAAAATGTTCGCAATAATGTGTTCGGTTTCCATGCAGCAGCAAGGTATAGAACTCTCGATAATCTTATATTTATTTAAAATTCCCATCATAAATAAATAAAAAGCTAACCAAATAAACGTTATTCTCAAAATCCATTAGAGTTAAACTTTAATAGGAAATAACATCGTTGGCAGATATCGAAATTCTCCTCATCAATTAGCTGATAAAAAAGATCCAAATTAATGCCGGGTTGGTGAAATGTGCCAAAAATCATTTAGCATTTCGATTTAAATTTAAAAATGGCGACGACTGTGTATTAGAGAGATCGAATCAGAGCCAAAGCTGCTGCCCAATAGTGGCCATCAAATATCAAAGATCAGAGCAACAAGCGGCATAAATTAAAAAATAGTTGAAAATCCGGCAACGTGAAAAAGTCACACACTAAACCAATTTGGAAACTGGTCGAATGAGTAGAACTGTCTGCAAAGCCAAATGCCACACGATTAATTAGATAACAGGGGGAGAGAAAAATACAAACGACATGGCATGTATCTTTGTATATAGTTTCTTTATAACATGCTCGCCAATATACATATATTTGTTCAAGAAATAAATCTGCGCCGCTTCAAAGCAGAGTCAATTGTTTTATATTAATCGCATCTTATTATTTATAATGATGGTAAATATAAATAATCATGGAGGAAGTGATTTTGAATTGTGCGCAACAATCCATCAAACGCATAATGAACGAGCACTTCTGTGAGCAGGCGCGAAAAACAAGTTCGTTTCCTGAGTCTTTCGTTTTGGTGCATGGGCACAAGTTTTTCTTTTTTTTTTGTTTACCAAATGGCATTATACAGCCCAATGCATATTAATTAATAGTTACACGTACATACATACATATAAGTATATACATAAGTGCTGATGTGACAAAAATGCAAATGCCACCCAAAGAAAATAAGCAAGCAAGCAAGGCGAGGAAGCGGCGCAAAAGTTTCCGCAATAGCCAAGCTGCCAAACCGCAAACTACTGCGGCAGCAGCAACAACAAGTTGCAACATTTGGCGGCAACTGTGAAAACTAAAAATTACATAACATCGAAATGAAATAGATGCGCGAAATGTGCAACAGCCGCGGCCCCAGGCGGGCAGGCAGATGCAACAAGCGAACAACAACAACCAAAACACACGACGAGAAGTCAGAAAAAAGCTTGCCAAACTCACAAGGCGTTGCCACTTGCTGCATTGTGGGGCAGGCAAAAAATCAAATTCAACGGGCTCCCCATCTCCATTCAATTGAACTTGTTTTTTTTTTGTTTTTTTGTTTTTGTACAGCATTCACACACATATGGGGGTCTAACAACAATAAATAAACAAAAGCCAACAATTTGTTGCAAACACAAGCCACTGTGTACTTCCATCTACCGCCTGCTGCTGCCCCATTCACCCGCTCGATGACGTCGTGACCAAATCCATATGTCTCTGCCTTTGCACAAAATTCACTTTCGAATGTCTTCCCTCAGCCATCAAGTTGCGGTCCCGATGAGGAAAACAAACAAATAAATATATAATGTCACCATATTTTATCTTTCCGTCCAAATAGCGTCTGTAGCCACCGCAGTGCGGTCAAATATTTTCGTAGAGCCTTTTTTTGGGCATTGCGTGTCTGAAATCATGAGTCGGTTGGCAACATTTTGTAAATGGTTATCTAAAAGCTATCGTCGTTATGTTTATGGGCTTGAAAACGTTAAGAGAGAACAACATCGAAATTAGTAGTTGATATTTAATAGAAATGGCCTTCACGCCGTAGCTGCGATATTTATGTTGTTTGATTGGCCGCCGCAAGTTGATTACATAACAAAACTTTAGCCCCACTACTTACTATTAGTTGCATAATTATGCTGGAAAATGATAACAATTTTCTGAAATTAAATAAATGTAATAGAGCTATTACGAAATTTGTGCGAACCGCTAGAAGACTGTTACCTTGGCCTCTTTTTTTTCATTGTGACAGACGAAGAAAAGGCCGTATTTTCTTGAATTAATTAATATAATTGGAAAATACGATATCTAAGTTTATTTTGAAAATACGCAACAATTTGAAAAATCATTTGAAAAATCAATATAAGCAGATTTTCGCAATTTGAAAACAATTTGACAATTTCAGAAGAATATTTGTGAATGTAAACTTTTTTAAAAAAGCAATGAACCTACAAAAACTTAGCTACGGATTTTGATTATGCCATGTTTAGAATATAACAAATATATTAAATATTAGTTACATTGTAGCATATTTTGAGTTGATTGGAGAGCAACCGAAACGAGGTCGTTATTAGGTATTATTGTAGTATTAGCTGAAATAACTTTTTTTAAATACTTCTTCATAAGTCAACAGTAATCCGAAAAGAGAAAAGTAGGCTACAATTTAATAGTGGATTTTTGTTTTTTATTCAGAAAGTGGTCTGATTTCAAAACTAGTAGAATTATATTTTTCTCGGTTTCGCACTACTAAGTATGAATAGATGATAACTCTCATCTTCAATTAGGGTCCTTAAAAAGAAAATTATCTATATTATGATACTATCACAACTGTTTGTTTGTCGAAGAATTCCAATTGATTTAAATGAAATCAAATACAACTCTACCAACTACCTGTCATAAATTAGTTACAGATACAATGCTCTGCTTATATTCATTGCTTCAAATTGTCAATATAACAACAACGAAAAAGTAGAACTGTTTAATTTATTTTATAGCTCGCCTAACAACTTAAAAGTGGCACACAAGAAAGCGAAATGAGTCTGAAAAATTGGGAGACTTACTCTGTAGACGCCATCAACAAGTTTTGTTATTTCCTCGGCCTCCATTGTTGTGCCGGTGCAGATGCAAACCTTTGCGGCTTGACTTGGTGCCTAATGATGAATGAAACTGGCCTTAAGTAGTGGGCCGGCAGCCAAGTGCTAACTGCTACCGATCGATTTTTAAATTCACTTTCCGTTGCAGCTGCCCGGAGCTAGTGCGAGTCGCAGTTTTGTTTTTCTTCTTTTTGTGACAGACTGCACTCGATTTTCACTTTCTAAAGTGGCACACACACTCAAAGTGGCGCGTACACACACACACACACACACTCGTGTAATACCGTAGCAGACGAAGACGTTGAACCGGCCAAAAAGTTGGTTTGCTTTGCTTTTCTGGCCACTTTTCGTCGCCGCTGTTTAAGCAGCTGCTGAGACTGGAACTGCGTGTCGAAGGCAAAATGTAAACGTAAACTTGTAACTTTGACTTTCGTTGCAGAATCTTGGAAATCTCGTTTCGTATGGATGTCGTGACTTTCTTTTCAACGGGGCCGACGAAACTGTTCCACGTAACACGTAAATTAAATGCCAGCACGTTAAACGGGCCAACTGTTTGTTGACTTCTCGCCGCTCTTCTGTGTGGATTTTCTTGTTGCACTTTATATATATATATATATACAATTGTATATATCTGTGTGTATTTGTTTGTTTTTTTTTTTCAGTTTGTAGCTACGTGACCAATTGATTAAGTTTAGTTGCGGGGCACTGAAACGACACAGAAGGTAGATAAGATGTTTAGAAACTGGCATTAAACAAAACAATAAACACCTAGCTAGGGTTTCGCTTTCCGCTGTAAGATTTATTTAACTGATAGGAAATTAACAAAAATTAATACTGCATTAACACTGTATGGCAATATAAACAATATAAACAAAATCATAAAATATATGGAGCGGGAAAGTTGTAGAAACTGAAATTGTTGACACTTATCACGATTAAAAATCGTTCAGAACAAGAAAGAAAAGAAAACTTAAAATTAATTATATTTATCAATCTGCGCAGTACATTAAAAACAAAAAAAAATCCATCAATAAAAATTATAAGAAATGTCATTTAAAAATAAACAGCTAAATAACAATGTAAACACTTTCTGTGAATTCATTAACAATCTTCAAGAAGTAAGCGTTTGAATTCGTTAATTAACAATGGAGTGTTTAAAAAGGAACCGAATGTAGAAGCTTAATTTTTGGCAATTTCTTGAGAGGCAGGTAGAAGTAGTTGACTATTATTGTTGGCACTCCTCCATTTTTTTCAAAGAAATAACAAAGATTTTAGTAAAAGTCTAATTTAAAAAACAAATACGTGTGGAAGCTTAATACTTAAGTGACAGGAGTTGAACGCGAATAGAATTTAATTTCTTCATCGCGAAATGAATATCAATTAATTATTTATTTTTGACATCATTCTACAACGCGTCTGCTATTGCAGTGAATTAAAACGGTATCTTGGCTATATCAGCGGCCAGGTGCTCGTACTCTGCAAAAGCTGCCTACGATTCTCTTCTTCTCAGCTGTATATTCAAATTAGCTTTTTGGTTTTTCTGCACGGCTAGTGCGATTAGCGCGACAGCAGCAACTGGCCGTCGGTCATAAACTTCACTTAGAACTTGCAAGTTAGCCTTGTTCTTAATAGTCGAATGTTTTTGCATAAATTTTCATAGTAGCCGTGTAATTAAATGACGGCCCAAGTAGCTCATAAATAAAACTGAACAGCGGCAAGTGCATCTGTAAGATACTCCAACCAAGATACAACTGCGCTCGTAAAACACTTGTCACTGTTGTTGCCGGTGTGGGCAACCTTGTCCACATTTGTGAGTATGTGTGTGTGTGTGTGTGTGTATGCGGCATGCCAAGAATGCAGCGCGCCTCGCTCGCTTTACGACTCGTCAGCTGCTAGACATAAGCCGACAAGTTCGTTGCCTAAGTCTTTTGTTTTGCACTGCACCATGAAATTCTAACTGGCGCGCATTGAAGCGCTGCGATGAGCGTTTTGTGCACATAACTGAACACTTATTGAAAGCCTATATACTCGTACATGCCCCCCCCCCTCCCCCCTCTCTTCCCTCTTCATAGTCAACAAGCAGCATCATTGTAAAGAAATTCATCTAATAAATACGGCAACTTTCTTTCCTATTTCCGAAAAGCGACAACAACTCGAGACACTCTCACTCATGTTTTCTTATTTTTCGTTGCTGTTAAATTTGTGGCGAGCGCTTATCTCAAATGGTTTATCTTGCATATTGAAATTTGACATTTTAAAAGATTTGAATGCGTTTTGTCCGCTTTCGTATCATTTAATTTTCATGCCTTTGTTTGAATTGTTAAACTGTTGAGTTGTAAGTGAGATGATGATGATGGGGCTACGTAATCGCCTGTAACGTATATTTCAGCACACACTAGAGTTTTCAGGTATTGTCTGTGCATATAGGTATGTGCTGTTATTATTATTATTTCTGTCATAATAAAAGATCATTATACCTCCACGTCTTTTTATTGCATGGGTACGGGCATGTCTTCCACTAGAGAAAGTAACAACTGCTAAGTATTAAACTTAAAATTGGGTTAAATAAAAGTCACTCGCAAACAGCTACAATATGGGGCAGATAGACATTATTAATCTACTTTGAATAAGACTACTATTTTTACTTGCATTTGAAATTTATAGAATATTCAACATACATTCTGATAAGATTGCTCCTTTTTATGTAAGAATTTAATATTAGATTCAGTAAACATTTAAACATTTCTTTATTCTTGAAAAAAGCGATTTTCACTATCCTCGAAAAGAATATGTGTTGCTGAATTAAAATAGAATAGAATAGCTGACATTTTTCTTTTTCCAAAAAAAAAGAGTATGTGTTCAATTTATGTTAAGTCTATTTTTGCCTTCTTAAATGACAAATATCAAGTATGACTTCAAAACCATCAACCTTTATATCTAAATTATATACTAATATTTCGTTATTTCTTACACAAAAAACTTATTTTCAAAGTCCACTTTCAAAATGTGTAAATTATTTGCCAGCCTGACTATAACTTGAGTACATTATACCGTTAAAAATTGGAATCTAATTAGAATCGATTGCTGAGCTATCTATATGAGAAAACTCACTAACTGAATAATATTTCGAAATCGATGGCATCACCCAGAATAGTAGACAAATTCGAATAACTCTTTGAAATAAAATTCCTATTTGCATGGAGTTGATGTGAAGTCCTATTTCTGCATAGCTCGTTTGTTATTCAAACTTTGATAAATGAGCTACCAGCGCTTTAAAATTCTCTTCATCCCATTGTGTTGAAAATAATGTTCGATTTGTTTTTATGATGTCACATTTCATGTGCCGTCCCTTAAAACATTCGCTAGATCCGCCTCTGTTTTAAGCCAAGCCAGACTACGGCTCTCAGACTGTTCAGTGCCAGCCCTAGGGCAATGTTACTTCTCGAGCTCAATCAAATTAAAATTCTGCCGAGCAATCGAGCAGTGAGCCTGCCAGCTAACTTTACATTGCCCCATGCAGTGGTAAGCTATAAATTTGATATTCAAAGTAAATTTTCAATTTCTACTCGAATAGATATTTCCATAAATAAACCGCATAAATCAGAGCTTTGCTGAGCGCGGCGGCCCATCGTCGGCGACACAAACTGCGCCGAAGCCGAACCGAACTCATTAGTAATCAAAAGTTGTGCAGAGCGAAAGAGATGGAGCGCGACTTGGACTCGGAATTCTTGCCCCAAACGTTGCACAAGCGTCAGTCGTCGCGTCGCCGATGCCGATGCCGCGTCTCTGATGAGTGCGAGTCTCGGCTACTAAGTGCGATCAATGGAGCTAACAGCCTCGACGATCATGTGGGCTATAAGTGGCTGCTGCAGTTGCCACTGCCACTGCTGCTGCGACTGCTGCTGCGACTGCTGCTGCGACTGCTGCTGCGACTGCTGCTGCTGCTGGACAGCAGCCACCGTCATCGAGAGTTGTTGTGGCGGTTGTCGCCAACGCAGCCAACGGCGTAGCGCAGCGCAGCGCCTGGCCATGTTTATTTTGTCTTAATGGCTGTTTGTGTGTGTTGTTTAATGGCAATTTAAATATTTTAGCCATTTAATTTTCTACTTTGTTTTTTAGGCTGCCTGCAACCTAACTGCTTCTTCTTCCTCCTCCTCTTTTTTCTATTCGCTGTGGTATCGAAAATATGTTAAAAATTTCTACTCTTTAGCATTTGGCTTGTTTTTAAGTTTATTTTTTTTACATAATTTCTCCTTACATTTATTTAAATTGTTTTTGCTTGTTAGTCGGGCCAATACCAATTTAAGTTCAACACATTAAGGAAAGGTTAAATCAGTTGAAGCGCCCAGTGAGTCAACAAATTTGTTGCATTAATATTCCACAAGCCCCATGTTTGGTGTCCAGATCTGCATCTCTCGATATGGAAATTTTTATATGTAATAGACACAAAATTGGTTTACAGCCAGATAAAAGATAATTATCACAAAATGTATATATATGACGTATTATCAATGGAGGGGAACGAATTTAATAATGAGACGAGTGCGTGGGTAGGTATTTGAGGTGAACCGTCTTGATCGGGCGCCAATGTTCACGAGTGGATATTAGTATTAGTAGCGTTTCAAAAGATCTCAGCCTTTTACTTATTGGAGGTGGGAAGTAAAGTAATATTTGTATATAAATAATATAATTGTCTTGAACTATAAAATCTATATTTTGGCAATTAGTTGACATTTATATACACGTATAATACTTATCATATGATAACGATTGGGATCTGATATGTTATTTTTCGAAGGGCGTTGTATAATATTGTTATTTGGAAGAAAGAGGGTTTTGTGTATTGTTTGAATGGAAACTGAAGAAGACTGTAAGCATTACTTTTTCAATGATCAGGATTGGTTTTGCATTCTTGGTTCTGACTAGTGAAACGATTAATATTTAATAATTAGTTTTTTTTATAGCATTTTGATTAATGATTATTATAAAGATATTTAGTCAATGAGTTGTTATCATTATTATATAACCGGAACTTGTTTGTAGTCTGCTCAGCTAAATGGCATCTACGTGTATGTATGTCTCAAGATCTTGATTTCTCTTACTTATGTTGATCTTGTATCTAAAATACTAAAAGTCAAAGGAAAGAAAATACGAAAAATTCCATTTACATTTTTAAAATTTTTCATTTTTATTTACATTTTTAAAATCCATATGTATTTTATTAGTTCCTGCTAATACAATCAAGTTTTTGTTGCTCTTGTCTTTCAATATCCCTCATAATATTTGGCAACAACTTTCGCCCAATTGGGGAGCCACAACTCCCCCCAACTACTTATATATTGTAATTGCAGAGCCAAGAAAGTGCAACAAATCTCTTTCCTCATGCATACTATATGCGAAAATCAAATAGACAACTATAAGTATTATGTCTGACAAGAGTTAGATGCGCAGCAGCAGTGGCAGGCAGCAGATATCTTGCCATTATCAAATGCCCATCATTACCTTTAGTTGTTGTTGTTGCAGCTGATCTCGGTGCGGCGATTAAATTGCAGTCAAAGCTCAGACATGTGAACACGTGTGACAGGCAGACGGCAGACAAAGGGGACAGACAAGCAGACTCACCGACAGACTGACAGATAGCCGAAGATGCAACACAAAAAAATTGTTGTTGTGAAAATGAAATTAAAGCCAAAGCAAAGAAACGA